TTTCCGCGGTCACACTGTACTCGTAGATTTCATTCGGGACGGAGGTTTTTAATTTTTTATTCTTAAAAAAACGGCACACATACCCTGGGTAAAATGGATGTTATAGAATTGTGAATACGTTTGTCTTCCAAGGCTCAGTAGGTATCAGGATCGACATAAATATATGCAAGATACTAATAAATATGTCAAAAACATATCAATTTGAGAAAAGGTCTTAATAAATTGCGTTTGATCTTCATATAAAATTAACGAAATAGGGTGCACAAAGGCCTATACACGCATCATGTCTTCAAATACCAGCAACATTGCGACTCTTATTTTTGTTGAACTATTTTGGTTTAACCCTGTTTAAGTCAAAATACAATAAAAGCAAGGACTAAAAACTAATCAATTGTGTAGAAAATTGATTCATCAATGGGCTAAAATTATGTGGGCACGGCTAAATGTTCTATATAGCTGGTAATATTCGACGGAATATAAAAAACGAGGAATATGTAAAATATAACTTGAATTCGTTAGTATTTTTACGGTATATTTTTAAAACAAGACCGTATGTTTCGGTATATTTCCGCGGTCACACTGTACTCGTAGATTTCATTCGGGACGGAGGTTTTTAATTTTTTATTCCTAAAAAAACCGCCAGTTTGATCGAACGTGAGTGTCTACTCGACAGAAAGATTAAGTGGGACAAAAGTGAAGTAGCAATTACACGATTACACATATTTTAGTACGTTTTAACTAAACAAAACACACAAAGGTAAGTGCCGAATCACGTATTTATGATATAAGGAGTGTTTATGCTTAATTTTCATATGGTTGCTAGAAAACGAAAAGGAAGCCACGTGCTTTTCGTGTATACTATATAAGGTAGTTTATTGATCCGCTTACATGCACCCATTTTCATGTTCAATCAATACTTGCAATACTTGGCCTGTGACCTAAAACTAATTATTTCAGTTTGTACGCACACAAGTAGACATGCAGATATTTTCATGTGTATTTTGATGAGTAATAATTAATCAGATAGTACGAAACCAGAGTTAATCTCTGTAATTGCTTATTAATGCAAAATGTGACTGTGGAACTTCTGGAATATTCCATTGGGAAAATTTACCGCTTCATTCTCACATGCACGCTTACACACATACATATGTATACGCATGCATACATACAATATGGCAGGCATAGATAAAAAAAACTTGCGTCATCCAGCGCCTACATTGCATTTACTGCTGTTGTATAAAATTAATCAATGCCAAAATTACTCATCGTAATTGCCTATTAATTTCAAAGTGCTATTGCTCTTTGCTAGAATATTCCAATGAATGTTTGCGGCTTCTCGCACGCGCACACATCCATGCATACCACGCCTAACAACATGCTTTTTCCCACACAGACGGATGATTCAGATCCGTTTAATAAACACGAATGAGATAAAAATAGTTCTTAACACCATAAATTAATACTTTTTGCTGGTTTTTCATATAATTTAGCTAAAATTAAACACGCGTTGCTAACCGGCATCCAAAGTACACCTCACGTGTGTTTGTGAGAGGGTAACACCTATACAAACGTACAAAGAAATGCTCTTTGCGCGCCCTCGACACTATAGTTGTCTCGTTCCAACCCGCCACACACTCGCCCCTTCAAAATGTCTCGGCCTCAGCGTGGTTTCACGTACGCACTCGTGTGTGTTTGTGGGCATGCACGTGTGTGTTCGCTTATTTCGCATTCCAGAATTTTCGTCTTTGTCCATGCGGTTTTTTTTTTGCTTTCGCATTTCAAAGAAAAATAATGGCAGCTGCTGCTGATCGACCGCCATGTTTATCGCTTCATCATTGATCTTCCCGTTTTTTTTAACAAACTCGGCATTAGTCATTGCCTTTGTGTGTTCGCCAATCTCGGCTATGACTCCGACATTGGGCTGGCAACCAGTTTCAGCCACATGAGAAATACAAACATAAAAGGCAAAGCGAAAACTGAAATGGCCGCTGTAAATGGCGAAATGGGATTACGCTTTTACTACGACGCATACGAAAATTTGTTCTAACGCTGGCCACGTTTTATGAACCCTTTGGTACATTGGAACTGAGCTGTTGTTTGCTTATACAAAAGCTGTCATAAATCATTCAATTGCGGTTTGCTTTCCACTGCACTTTCCGCAGTGCTGCGGTGACCCATGAAATGGTCTTTCCTTTTCCACGTTTTCTACACAATTTTTCAAGGGGCGAAAGTGTCATAACAACTCAGTTCCTCACATGTCTCTTGGGATCAATGCACCCAGTGCCAGGGCACGTCAGTAGCAATTACGTTCCAACAGAAAACAGCTGACTTTGGAATAACTGTTCAATGTCAGTTTATTTTCCATTCGAATTATTACGTGTTTGTGGAAAGAAAATCGAAACTAATAAATAATTTTTATATAATTTATTGCAGATGTCTAAAGCACCTGCTGTTGGTATTGATTTGGGCACAACCTACTCTTGTGTGGGTGTGTTCCAGCATGGCAAGGTCGAGATCATTGCCAACGACCAGGGTAATCGTACGACACCATCCTATGTTGCCTTCACGGACACGGAGCGTTTGATTGGTGATGCCGCCAAGAATCAGGTGGCGATGAACCCAACCCAAACGATCTTCGATGCCAAGCGTCTGATTGGTCGCAAGTTTGAGGATTCTGCTGTGCAGTCTGACATGAAGCACTGGCCCTTCGATGTGGTCAGCGTAGATGGCAAGCCCAAGATTGAGGTTACGTACAAGGATGAGAAGAAGACCTTCTTCCCCGAGGAGATCTCCTCCATGGTGTTGACCAAAATGAAGGAGACCGCCGAGGCGTACCTGGGCAAGACAGTGACCAATGCCGTCATCACTGTGCCAGCCTACTTCAACGACTCGCAGCGTCAGGCGACCAAGGATGCCGGTACCATTGCCGGATTGAATGTGCTGCGTATCATCAACGAGCCCACAGCCGCTGCTATCGCCTATGGCCTGGACAAGAAGGCTGTTGGTGAGCGCAACGTGCTTATTTTCGATCTGGGTGGCGGTACCTTCGATGTGTCCATTCTGTCGATCGATGACGGCATCTTCGAGGTCAAATCTACGGCCGGTGATACCCATCTTGGTGGTGAGGATTTCGACAACCGTCTAGTGACCCACTTTGTGCAGGAGTTCAAGCGCAAGCACAAGAAGGACCTGACCAGCAACAAGCGTGCTCTGCGTCGTCTGCGCACCGCCTGCGAGCGCGCAAAGCGTACCCTCTCGTCGTCCACCCAGGCCAGCATTGAGATTGACTCTCTGTTCGAGGGTACCGATTTCTACACCTCGATCACTCGTGCCCGTTTCGAGGAGCTGAACGCCGATCTGTTCCGCAGCACCATGGACCCCGTGGAGAAGGCTCTGCGTGACGCCAAGCTGGACAAGTCGGCCATCCACGACATTGTGCTGGTCGGTGGCTCCACCCGTATCCCCAAGGTGCAGCGCCTGCTCCAGGATCTGTTCAACGGCAAGGAGCTGAACAAGTCGATCAATCCCGATGAGGCTGTTGCCTATGGTGCCGCCGTCCAGGCCGCCATCTTGCACGGCGACAAGTCGCAGGAGGTGCAGGATCTCCTGCTGCTCGATGTCACCCCACTGTCTCTGGGTATCGAGACCGCCGGCGGTGTGATGAGCGTGCTGATCAAGCGCAACACCACCATCCCAACCAAGCAGACCCAGACCTTCACCACCTACTCGGACAACCAGCCCGGTGTGCTCATCCAGGTGTACGAGGGCGAGCGTGCCATGACCAAGGACAACAATCTCCTTGGAAAGTTCGAGCTGTCGGGCATTCCCCCAGCACCACGTGGCGTGCCCCAGATTGAGGTCACCTTCGATATTGATGCCAACGGCATCCTGAACGTCACTGCCCTGGAGCGTTCCACCAACAAGGAGAACAAGATCACCATCACCAATGACAAGGGTCGTCTCTCCAAGGAGGATATCGAGCGCATGGTCAACGAGGCCGAGAAGTACCGCAACGAGGACGAGAAGCAGAAGGAGACCATCTCCGCCAAGAACGCTCTCGAGTCGTACTGCTTCAACATGAAGGCCACCCTTGATGAGGAAAATCTGAAGACCAAGATCGCCGACTCTGACCGTACCGTCATCTTGGACAAGTGCACCGAGACCATCAAGTGGCTGGATGCCAACCAGCTGGCCGATAAGGAGGAGTACGAGCACCGTCAGAAGGAGCTCGAGGGTATCTGCAACCCGATCGTCACCAAGCTGTACCAGAGCACTGGCGGTGCTCCTGGTGGCATGCCGGGCGGTATGCCCGGAGCTCCCGGTGCAGCTGGAGCTGGTGCTCCCGGTGCTGGTGCCGGCGGTGCTGGCCCCACCATCGAGGAGGTCGACTAAACCATTCTCAAATACCCAAACCTCACACCCACTCTCAACCATCCAAAAGTACATCAGTTCTCTTGTCTAAAAAACAACAAAAACACTACAAGAGCTATTTAAATCTGGACTCTAAATTGGAAATTCGATTAACATCAAACCAAAATAAAACGACTGCTTCTTTGAGGATCATTTAATAATTACCACACTTCTCATAAAGGAACCCACACAGAGCTGCATAAATAATATATATTATATTATTATCATCGATCGATCACCAAACAAACAATATATTTGCTTATACTTGAATTCAATAAATTAATTTGAGAATTGCAAAAACATATTTATACCCAATTGTATTTATTCTTATTATTCCTGTAAGATTAGAGATTTGTCCCACTGTACGTTGGATCAATATTTGTTCTGTTGCCACTATCATATCTGGCTAATGACCTGTTGTATGCATATTGAAACAGACGCGGGCCAGGTGGTTTAGTAGATAAAAGCAGGGCATATTTATAGTTTTCTGGGTGTCGTTGTTGGGTTTGTACATTTGCCAGGCTGTATAGTAGACATATCTTTAGGTAGGCCTAAGCAGCTCTGCTCAAAAATCAAATGAAAGGCCATACATTTAATATATTTTATTACAAGTTTGAGCATGAGATCTACTCAGCCCATTCAAATGTTTACATTTCCTCTAAAACAGCGTGTCTACTTGGTTTCCCCTATTTTGGGGTAACAATCTAATATCTGACTAATCAACCCAAGCAAAGTTTGGATCTTTGTCCAGCTTATTGGATATGGTAGCTCCAATCACAGGCAACTCGCTGTTGTTGGGACGATAGAAGCCATCGCTAATGAGCTCTCTTGTGAGTGGTCTGCGACTGAAGACATTTCCCGGAGGCTTGCTCGGCGTTTTAGGTTTGAAGGTGATGTCCGAATCAGCGACCAATTTATGTCGGGTTATCCGCGGATTGCTCACCTGCTCCAGGTACGATTGCCACTGATACAGCTTGTCCTCGGCCGCACGTAGTTGGTCGATGCTGCGCTCGTGGCCAGGATTAATGCCGATTGGCTGGACCCCAGCTATATTCTTGAGATCCACTTGAATGGGCGCTAGGGCGGAGATGGCACGCGACAGACCAATTTGACTGTGACGTATACGATGCTCGGTGAGATCGGCGCCCAGCAGCTCCTCGTGCGGATCCATGCGTATGGGTATGATCTTGTTGATCACATAGAGGAGCAGAAACGTTGAACAAATGCCCCAAGATGCCAGACAAAGTGCAGAAAGGGTCTGAATACCGAGCAAGTACCAGCCACCGCCCTTGAACAGACCCATGCGTCCGTTGGTCGTGTCTAGAGGTATGGGATTGTCGGCAAACAGTCCCACGGCGATAACACCCCAGATTCCGCAGACGCCATGCACAGCACTGGCACCCACTGGATCGTCCACGCCCAAGCGATCGAACAGGGGCATAGCCAGCACACAGAGCAACGAACCGATCGCACCAATTACCAAGGCCTCCCAGGCGCGATACAAGAAGCAACCGGCCGTGATGGACACCAGCGAGCCGAGCACTCCATTGATGAGATCCATGATGTCCATCCCACCGTCGTGCCGCCAAAATGAGAATCTGTGGATGGCAAAGACTGAATTTTGGCCAAACATTTCACGGTTGCTTACATGGAGCTAGTGAAGCCGCCGCCAAAGGAGCCCATCATCGTCATTACGGCCGCTCGCGCTGCATACTGCCACTTCGCTCCGCTAACGCCGTAAGTGCTGCCCGAATTGAAGGCTAGCCATCCCCACCAGAGCACAAACAAGCCCATGCAGGCGTTGACTGGATTGCCCAGCGGCAGAGGATCATAGCCCTCGGAGTAGCGGCCCAAACGCGGACCCAGCATAGCGGCCGAGGCAAAGGCCGATGCACCGCCAATCAAATGCACGGGTCCGCTGCCGGCAATATCCACGGCGCCCAGTTTATTGAGGAATCCATGCTCGCCCCACACCCAGCCAGCGGGAATGCAATAGACAGCCGTATTGAGGAACGAGAACAGGCAGTAGGCCTTAAAGTTGCAACTGGAATGAAAAGGCTATGCCATGATAATCGATACTCTCTAAAGAATCGTTCTTACCGCTCTGCCATCGCGCCACTCACAATGGTCGTGGCCGTGGTGGCAAACGAGAGCTGGAAAAGAAAGGCAGCAAATATCTGACCCATCAGGGCATCGCCAACGGGCGGATCCAAAAGAAAGTCTCCAATAGCTATGAACGGATTGGAGAGCGGCCCACGGCCGAAGCTCATGCCGTAGCCAAAGAGCCAATAGGTGAATCCGCCAAGCACAATATCGATCACGTTCTTCATCATGATGTTGACCTCGTTCTTGATTGACACACAGCCAGACTCCAGCATGCCAAATCCCGTTTGCATTGTGAAAATGATAAAGGACGAGGTCAGCACCCAGTTGGTGTCCTCCGTGGAGAGGTCATAGAGTCCGGGTATCACATAGTTACTATGATTTCGCCCGATCCCCTTCAAACCGCTCGCCGTGGCGTTGTCCATTTTCGAAGCCGCTTCCACCGCTCAGGACGTCCGACAGCCTCGCGTGATGGTCAACGAGTGTCCGGGAAGTCATGCTAAACATCAAATTCGAGTCAGCCAAATTCTCCCACTGAATAAATGAATGTTTGCAAATTACCTGCATTTGATTCAACTGCAATTTAGTCGCCGCCTTTCAGCAATTCGTCAATTATTTCGTGTGCGTGTTGTTTACGGCGGCTAAATTCTTGTTGCTGATTTTTTCACATGGCCCTTTGAATGCTTGACATTGTGTAGTTTTTGGGATTTGCATGACTGAAACGTATTGGAAAATTAATGGGGACATTTTGCATTTAATTGAATTAAACTACCCAAAGTGGGGAAAAGAAGTAGGTACATACAGATTTCAATAAGTAATTCTAAGCCTCTCGACTTAAATGTGGATTTTATGACATTACATTAAAGCACCTGAAAATTATACTACGCTCATAATAAAACATGTGCAACTGACTAATTCACTTATGTTTTTGAGAGTTTACTGACCAATTTTTGGGTTGTTTGTTTTTCCTTTTCGATAGCTATCAATTTATATTGCTAGCACTCCAATCGATCAGGTGCCATTATCGAACCTTCACCTGTGAGGGAAGACATATTCTAAAATTTATCCACAGTTATATACTGATTGTATTGTTATTTTCAAAACAAAACGCCGATAAGTTTCGCTTATCGCACAAAAATACCCATAGCCCAATAACAACCCCAGCCCTGTGCATCGATATTTAGTATCAAAAGTCTATCAATATATATTTAAAATCTGTACACAAAATCTCGTTGGTTCGCTCGAGCGACGGAGTGTCCATTCCATAATGAAACTTAGTGGATTTATTGAGAATTTTTGTGCGACCAGCATTTCAGTTAATTTTCGATGGGTTGTCGTCCAGGACAAGTGATATCACAAGTTAGGTCTTGAACCAGACTGCCCAGCGATGAAGATAGAAAGACAACGGTCGTTGAATAACGAAAATCCAAATCAACGTTTCATCACTCAAACTAGTTTACGCGTTGTATTTTTTAAAATTTGAATTTGCCGCCAAGATAACGATACAATCGAGTATATACAGATAACTAATCAAATGAATTAATAGCTAAAAACATTTCAATCTAAAAAAAATTGACTATTAATTACGTTTCAAAGCAGTTTGGGAAACACTATTTTAATATTATTTAAGGAAATAGGGTATACAAATGTCCATATTCATAGCTGAATGAGTTGACCAGCAGCAATGACGTAATAGTCTATACACACTTACGTTTCATTCCGTGACTCACGTTTCATGCTTTGTACTTTTTGCTTAAAACTTATTTTAGGCACAATCCAATAAAAATGAGTACTTAAAACTAGCCACTCTTGTAGAAAATCGATTCATCAATGGTATTAAATTCTGTGTTCGGATCTGGGAGTCCCAGCTAGCTAGAAATATTAGACCGAAGATCGAAATCGAGGAATATGAATTCTTATCCTGGACAGAGGACGATTTAACCCATTGTCGACCAGTGGGTATCTTGAAGAATTTTAGAGCAGTTCAATGGAAAGATATTGTGGTAATTTGTTATGTAGGGAAAGAAGAAGGATGAAACTTCAACAAGAATTTACAACCAGTGCTAACTTCCGCTGTTTAACTCAAGTTTAAACAATGGGGTTTTAGGTGGGCTAAGATCGTTTTTTCATCGGTACAGTAACGGTATATTTCTGAGGGTCAGACCGTATATCGTATCGATAAGTCCGCGGTCACACTGGTTGGCTCGAACGTTCGTAAAAAAAACTGTTGAAAATAAACTGTTAATACAAAAGTTCTCTATCAATTAACAAGCTTTAACTAATTGTTCGGCTATAAGTGCGAATTCACCGTGTGCAATATGTATTTTTTGGCATTGCTTGCGTTCATTGGAAATGCCAAAGGTAAAAGCTAGTGGGGAAAACTGGTGCGAAAAATTGTTGGTACACACACACATACACATGTTAAAATCAGCTCCATATCCTGGCGGAGCAGCAAAGAGAGTGAAAATGGCGAAACTGTATAATATTTAAAAAGTGCAACATATATAAAACTCCTTAGAAGCGAATACAAGGTTTTTCATGTAAAATCAATTTCGATTGGGTTGGCTCCTTCTACAATAATTGGAAATATGGTCCATGGCCACAGAGTTCACAATTTATGGGGCACGGGCCACACACATACATATACCAATGTATGTATACCAATACCACGGCACATGCTGCGCTTCGGTTCGCTCTTTTTCTCAGTAGAGCAGAGCAGAGCAGCAGCAGCAGCAGCAGAAACTCCTGCGAAAAGGGGGCATAACGGTGCTTGGGGGCTGGGGAAATGGAAATGGCAATACGAAGGAAGTGGCCTGCAAAATTTTGCTTTACTTCTGTACACACATATACATATATTAATATATGTTTGGATGTCCGTGTAGGTGGGTGGGTTGTTTGTGTGTATGGTGTTTATTTTTTGCATGTACACCCTGGCTCCTGTTTGTGTATGGGTGTGTACTATTGTGCTGGTGTTGGGGGCGGCAGGAGGCTGGACTGGGTGTGTATGTTGCCTGTGTATGTATTTAGCATTCACACACATGTACACAGAAATTTCACTTGGAAACTCTCGCATAAAAGGCAACATTTTTTCTCTTCTTTTTTTGTGTCGCGAGGGTGAGTGTGTGTGTGTTTGCCATTTTTGTTCGTGCGTTTCCTGACCAGAAATTCGCTTTAGGTATGGTATGGTCGCTTTGGGAACTAAGCTTGCCTCCCCGCCGTTGTCATGCTGCACACACGCATATGTGGGTGTGTTGTACTGTATGCACACATTTGTATGTATATTTGTTTTTAATTTGAATTTCCTTTTGCTGTTTAGCATTTAAATGATGTCGAAAATATTCTGCGTTTGCATTTAATTTCATTCAAGTGATAAATATCATGGTCTCCCTCCCTCACTTTCGCTGTTGGTTTATGCAGCTGTGCAGCTCCCTCACTCTCTCTCTTTCTCTCATTCAGCACCTGCTGCACTTTGTCTATGCATTTGTATCTGTGCGTTTTGTGGTTGTGTACGTGTGTTTTTGGTGGCACAATGTTAAATCAGCGAAAAGTTGGTCAAGTGTGTCAAAATAAAGAATTCAGGCCCCAGCCTCCATCGAGTGTGCCATTATATGGTAGTGTATGTGTTTGAGAGTGCACACGTACTTGGGTTTGTGGTAACTGTAAAATACAGGGGGAAATCATCGAGCTTCTGGAATGATCAGGGCTGCTATTGTTAGTTCGAAGGTTCTGGAAGGAGTTTCTGGAACAATAACAATCTACATATATCAGAATCTTGCAGAATTCTCAGCCTCTCCAGTGTTCTGTCCTAAGTTTAGTCCCCTATAAATATGCTTTAAAATACAGCACCAGCAGCACCAATTCAAGATATCGTTTTGGAAACATTCCACAGATGGTAACGCGGTGAGCTCTAGCCTCATACCCGGCGGACACTGCCGGGACTACAATGGCAAGCTGTACGAGACGGGAATGCACTATATGCCCGGGCCGGACTCCTGCCGGCTGTGCATCTGCGACAGCGGTCTGCCCAAGGCTTGCAAGATGGTGCTGTGCGAGGCGTTCAGCAAGTGCAAGTCCTTCCAGACGGTGGGCAGCGGGAACAACTGCTGTGAGGTGATCTGCCTGGATGATCAGTTCAGCGATGGGAGCACGGACTTTGGCATTTGACTGGTGGCCAGTGGCATCACTGCCACGCTCTCCCTGTCCTTGCTCTTCTTCCTGGTCAATCGGCTGAGGCAGCGCAAGATGCGGGCCCGAGAGAATCGCCAGAATGCCGAGGATCAGCGCAGCATTGTGGGAAGCATTGGGTGAGTCTTTAAACAGCCCCTAGCCGGTCCCTAATAGACAGTGAAAGCATTTCTCTGTATCTGTTCCCTCCAGATACATTGCTGGAAACATGGGCTACATGGAGGGGAATCTGAGTGCCATCGATTATTCGTACGGTGGAGCAGCCACCCACTATCCACTGTGGAAGCCGCATTTCCCACGCGGCGAGGCTCCGCCTCCGTATGAGGAGGCAGTGGCCATCTCCCAGGCAGAGGCGCTAAGTGCCCAGTGCGTGGTCAGCCTGCCGGCCAGCTCGCAGCGTGCCGTCGCGAGCGTTAGCCAGCAGCAGCAGCTACAGCAACAGCAGCAACAGGCGCTCCAAGCGCACCAGGCCCACCTTCAACAGCACACGCTCCAGCTGCACACTCAGCCGCAGCAGCATCATGCCCCGTACGCCCAGCAATTGGTGCCCCATCCGCAGCACGCCCATCAGATGGCCGCCGCCGCCGCTGCAGCGGCCGGAGGTGGCTCAGTTCTGCCACAGTCCAACCAGTACACGCAGAGCACCACGAATCTGATCAACATCAATATCAATAGCGGGGGCGTGACCACCATAGCCACAGGCGAGAACCACCAGCCACCATATAGCCTTCAGAGCGAGCAGCAGCACAGCCTCGAACAGCAGCAGCAGCAGCAACACCACCACCAGCAACAGCTCCAGCTGCAACATCAGCAACAATTGGCCCAGGCTCAGGTCAGCAATGGTTCCATCTGCCTACAGACAATGCCCAAACCCAGTGGGGGTGGGAGCAGCGAGTGCAGCTACAAGAACTGTCATTTGAACATCAGCGCCAGCGTCACCACGGCGGCTGCCACCAGTAGCTCTGCTTCCTACACGGCGTCACGCAGGACAACGCCACGCGGCTCCCAGGAACTGCTCCATCAGTTGCCGCAACAGCAGCAGCTGCAGCAGCAGCAAACGCAACAACAGCAGTATCTCACGGTGGCCGATGTGGAGATCAATGCCAGTGCCAGTGCAGCCAGCTATCATTCCCTCCCCGCCAGCAGCGAACTTCTGGCCACGCCCACGCATGCCCAAGTCTTGCAGCATCAACAACAGCAGCAGCAGCAGCAGCAACAGCAACAGCAACACCATCAACAGATGCTGGCAGCTGCCATGTCCGCGCCTTCCATGGAGATATTGCAGCCTTTAGAAATATCAACCATTTCAGCGGGTCCTGCCTGTAGCACAGCGGACCAGGCCACGCAGCTGCCGTTGCATGCGACGCTCAAGGCACAGCAGCAGCAGCACCAACAACAGCAACAACAGCAACAGCAACAACAGCAACAGCAACAACAGCAGCAGCAGCTCAGTCTGGTGTCCGGGTCGAGCAATAAGACACCCTCGAGCTCACGTCGCTACCATCGCACTATTCCCCGATACTTTGCCGTGGCCGATCCGCTGCAGGTGAATGTTAGCAGCAAGTCCAAGAGCAGCAGCAGCAGTAACAGCAACAGCAGTGAGGTGGCAGCCAGCAGCAAGGCCAGCAAGAAGCCGATGTGCCAGTGCCCCATCCAGCATGTGCCCATGTCCTATATGGGCAGCACGGCCAATGCCAATGCCTTTCTCAGTGGAGCCGGCAAGCTGTTCAGCAACTCGAGCAGCAATTCCAGCCCCACTTGCTCCCTGTCGCCCGGGGCGGCAGTTGGGGGCGGTGGCAGTGTCCGGCATGCTGGCACTCTGGCATACGGCCAGCGGGCCAAGTCCTCGACGAATCTGCAGCAACATGCTCAGGATCTCATAACGGCTGCAGGCGTTGGCACCCTCAAGCGCAGTGGGGGGGCAGCATGCGGACATGAGCTGAAGATTGCCACCATCTCAAAGCAGGTGGGCGATGAGACGCAGACGCATCATCATCCACATGTCAGCGGCAGTTCGGGTGGCTCCAGTGGCGGTGTGAATGTCTCGGCCATCATACCACCGCCGCCACTGCAACATGCCGAGGATGTGTCTGCACCGCCCATCGTGTTGGGTCGCGTCCAGAAGCGTTCCTCATCGTCCAGCAATTCGGGGGAGCTGCGGGGTCGCAGCACAAATGGCAGCGGGAGTGCAGCCGGACGCAGTGCATCCAGCAGCAGTAGCGGTGGCGGTGGGGCCGCCGATGTGCTCTCCAGCGCCTACTTGAATCGAAAGGTGAGTTCGAAATGTAAGTAATCCCATCATTGTGAGAGATTAGCTTGCAGAACGGAGAATGTTATGGCGAATAATCGAAATTTGATACACCTTTTGATTGGCTCGTGATGTGAGATGATGATGATGCCTTATTCCATTCCCCGATCTGAGATTTGCTTCGGCTTTCAGGGCTAATCCTGTACGTACTTGCAGGTTGATGCCTACTTGAGTTTGACACAGAAACAGCAGCAACATTTCTTTAACCAACAACAACAGCAACAGCAGAAGCAGCAACAAAAGAAACAACAACAACAGCAACATCCCGATCAAAGCAATCCAACTTTACCACCGAAACTCTACAAAAGCCTAACGAATTTAAAAAGCGCCACAGTCACAAAAACATCACCGGCGCTGGCTCCTACATCCTCCTCCTCCTCGTCGAACAACAACAGCGTGGCCACAATCTATACGCTGAGCAAGCCCGGCGGCGCCAGCTCGAGTGTCCAGCGGAAAGAGCAAACCACACCCACACTGACACTGCCGCCGGCAAGTCCCAACGCAGCCAGTTCCGGGGAGAAGCTGCTGCTGGCCAGCGGCAAGATCAACTCGAGCACATTCTATCCACTGGCCAATCACGTGACCTACACCCTGCCCAAGCACATCAGCGGCAAGGTGTCGCTAAACAGCACCATCAACAGTGTGGTCAGCAAGGTGCCATCGGTGATCAGCATACCGCCGGTGGAGAACAACAATGCTGCAGGGGGAGGGCAGGGTACGGCTGCAACCACTGCTGTTACATCCAAAAGCACAACACTGCCAAAGATATTGCGTGTAAAGCGCGACACAGGAACGGGGACGGGCACGGGCACGAGTCCGGCTATCGCCCATTGCCAGATGCCGAATTATCCGTTGGCGGCGTCCAAGAGCAGCGCCAGCGGCGTACGATCGGCAACGGCATCGGCATCTACAACACCGAGCAAGCAATTGCCCGTTTGCACCACCTCGAAGAACTGTTTAAATCCCAAGGAGCACTTCCTGCCCAACGACACCAGCCTGGACGATGACTATCTGAGCGAGTGCGAGAACTGCAAGATAGCGCAGAGTGCCAAATACTATCTGGATGCGGAGATGAGTGGCGGCGGCTCATCAGCCTCCCCGCAAGAGACCATGACGCTGCAGCGTAAATCGCTCGAAGAGACCAAAGAAGAGCCGCACGACAGTTACTATCGGAGTTCGCATACGCTGCCCAGCAATGCCAAGAAGCATGGGTGAGTGATCTACAAGTCATGGAAAAGAGATTGCTCTTGTTCATAATATAATGCCTGTTCCTTTGCAGATCTTCTAGCAAGAATAACAATCGAGAGCCGTGGCAATTCTCAACGATTCCCGCTGCCAGCTCATCGGACGAGGATGTCAACGAATGAGATTTAAGCCATTTTCTTTAAGGTGCCCCCGGGCCAGAAGAGTGTGCATCCTAAAGAAAACGTAGGCTACAAAACAACAATACCCAAAAATCGCAAAGAGTAAAGCTAAGAGTTAGATATCAGCGTACTTGTTGCTGCATAACTGAAAGAGATATCTTGTATATAGGCATACGAAAATGTACTTAATCTAATGCTCACGAATGTAATGTAATGTATTGTATATCTAACGAATAGTTATGGCATTGAATATGTAGATTCATTGACTGTTTAGATATATCCATGAAGATACTCTAACCAATCGGCGGCATGTAAATTTTGCGTGTTTGTTATGCACCAACCCAACCCCTCTGTATATCTCTGTATGTATGTATGTAATTGAAGAAAACACTGTATATGACACTATTAGGAACGAAGGAAACCAAAGGAAGAGAAATCAATTATAATCACACATTATGGATTAGAGGAACTGTTGAATACTTGGCGTATTATGCATTTGAATATATTACGATTAAGATGAGAAAAAGATGTCAAACATTACTGCCATCTGCCAACCGTTAACTGTCAATAATTATTATATATGTATTGTATATGTAATATATGGTATATGTAACTATGGAATCTGACCAAATTTGAAGGTATTCCCCCGCTCCCTGACGCTGCACACCCCAAAAAAACACACACAAAAGGACTCTAGTATAAGCTTTAAATTAAACTTATACACAAAAGAAATATAGGCTCACATTCCAATAACCTAAGCGCCTAAAGTTCTTCCTTACACGCCGCACTCCATGGAATTTCTTCAATTGTTATTTTTTTTCCATAATAATAACTCCCAAATGAATGTACAATATATAAAACGAACATAATTCAGTGTATAGAAATGTAAGAGTAAAAATTGTTTCTAAAGTCGTATTTAGACATTAGACGGTTTCTTTATCGATAACGAAGGACTTCTTGGCTAACGAATCATTTAATTTTAATTCTTCATTCGGCAGGCAGTGCTATTCCTTGTAGCCCCGTACCAACCATCTCCGCCCTGCAAGGCAGTCAGTCGTCTAATGCTAACGATGTAGTCACCAAAAAATATATGATAGATAGTAGAGCCACGTCCCCAAGCAGCAGTGAGAGGCAGCAGGCACTAGGCTGCTCAGATAATAAAAATATAAATTGTTTGATTTAATCAATTTGCAAAACAAAAACAAACAAAAAACTAGTCGTAATCATACTCAACAACCGAGAGGAGATACTAAGCCAGGAGTTAGTTATGCCAGCAATTAGTCGAAAGCTTAAAATAGATGAAGGACAAAGAATACCAGAGAATAGAGAGAAAAGATGCATATGTATATTGATTTCCTTTGGCTTATAGTTTATTCCGTTAATAATTTAATTATTAATTATCTTTGGACAAAAAACACGAGAATGGTTTTTTGTTCTGGCTTTTTGGTTGTAAAACGCGATCTCGGATCCGCCGGGGGACTCTTGGTCTGACGAAAACTGAATTGTGTTCAACCGATGCTCAAAATACCAATGATATAGTATATGTATCTATAAGAATGTACAATTTGTTGTTTAGTTTCGGATATATAATTAACGAAAACGTAAACAAAACAAACTCTGTTATGAAATGCTCAAAGCGTGTACTGACCACAACGCAATCGTGTCTCCCCCCCCTTCACCCCTACGGGCGATGGTGGGGGGCTTTAACTTAACAAAAAGGGAAATTAAAAAGTATTAACAGAAATTACTCAATAGTATTACAAAATAATCAATGGAATCAAACGTTTTTCAAAATATAACTTATTAGTGACGAGTCATTTATCAAAATTAAGTTCCCAAAAACTATTCAATGAACAACAACAACAACAACAAAATAACATATTTACATCACGGCTAAGTACGAATTTTTATTCATTAAGCTATATTTACTATTGATGAAAAATCTCATGAAACCAAATATTAAACTAAAACGAAATAAAACAAAATACTTGGTAAAAAGTAGTTTACAAATTACAAAATGGAAAATTAAAGTAAAAAATAAATTATAATTAAAACTAGTGTGGCGATAGTTAAAACAAATTTACCAAATTCGAAAAAAACAAAAACAAAAACCGTTTCAAAATTATTCAGCACTGAAAATGATGTTTGTCGATAGCCTGCGATTACATTGATTAATAATCGATGTTCATCAAATGTTTCGATGACATACATTTGTCTGAATAATTGCTTAAAACAAAAACAAAAAAAAAAACAAACAAATATTACGAGTATCAATGTGTTATTGAACAACAAATCGTATTGTAACTATTTAAATTTAATTGAACTAAAAAACGTGGAAAAATAAATTGGTCTATAATGAAATATTCATCGAGTGTTTCCGATTGTACATATATTGAATGGAGAATTTCTCCGAATTGTTGCCTACTTTCCAGCGTTGGCGGGAAAGTCGCATCTTCCCAAATTAAGGGCGGCTTCCAAGAGAACCTCCATCCACCCTGTGCTATTTATGATTCAAAATCTCATTCATTTCCCATAATAAGAAGTCATTCTCATGGTTTTAATTGTAAAAAATGCAATACAATTTGTTATGTTTTGTTTATCTTTTGTTTCGTTTCATTTTCCTTTTTTTGTATTTAAATCATAAAAACAATTTTACGATGCGATCTGATTTTGCCTTTTGTTTTATATGTATATGGTATAACCTATTAGTTTTTTGTTTGTTTTGTAATGCCTGATTCTGCTATGGATGCAAAACACTCGCAAGCGAAATTTGTGTTTTTTATGTACATACAACAAAATTCAATAAATTAAGTTATGTATGTAGTTTGCTTTGTTTGTTGTTTTTTGTTTGATCAAAGGACACATTGGCGTCGGCGGAAGGAGGGAGACCAAGGAGCAGGACATAAAATACGCTTTTGGGGGCTAATAAAGATGATGCTGCTACTGCACTGCTACGGCTTGGAGAACCAATCGGGATCGGAATCGGGCTGGGCTGGGTGGGTCCTTATTCTATTTCTATTTCGGCTGACTGTCCAGAACGGGATTAATTGTCTTCCCTCCAAAGATCTGACCCCATCCAATCAAACTGCAAGCAGAGAATGTCATTAGATTAGTATGATTGGACGGGTGATGCTGGCTGTGTAGTACTTACCGCCAATGGTTCTCCACACGTCTGCTGAGGGCAATCTTCTCGCCCTTCTCGGTACACACCGGAGTTGTGAGCACAATCTTGGCCAAATCACCCTTGGTGGCCGAGATGCGGCCGCCAGTGCTGAGCGATCCAATGTTGACCAGCAGGATCTCGTTCTTCTGCAGCTTCTCGACACGCGCACCCTTCTTGTCGCCATCCGTACGTACGCCGAGCAGGCGACGCAACAGGTAGTATGAAATTTCCAGCTCCTGATAGATGTCCGGCAGCTGTCCGACGGCACCCAGCACCTGGCCCACCAAACGATCGGCACGACAGAGCGTGGGATCGATTTTGGTGCCCACACCGATCAGGCCACCAGGAACGGCATACTGCAGTTCGTTCTGTTCGGCAAACAGTGAAACGATCCGCGAGAATATGGGGCGGCAGGTAATGTTGCCATCGCTGTCCTTGGTCACGACACCGGGACGCACTTCGATCTCCTGGCCCACCTTCAGCACACCGCTCAGAATGGAGCCACCGGCGACGCCGCCCTTCAGGTCCTGCACCTCACAGCCCGGCTTGTTCACATCGAAGGAGCGGATGACAATCAGACGGGGCGGCGCATTAAAGTCCCGCTGCGGTACAGGAATCTTGTTCACAATATATTCACAGAGCACATCAATGTTGTATTTGAGCTGGGCCGAAATGGGTATAATCGGCGCGCCCTCGGCAACGGTGCCCTGGACAAACTTGGTGATCTCCTCGTACTGCTCCTTCGCCTGGCTCTCCTTGATCAGATCGATTTTGTTTTGCAATATCAAGATCTGTTTCAGTTTCATGATCTCAATGGCAGCCAAATGCTCAGAGGTTTGCGGTTGAGGGCAGGATTCATTGCCTGCAAGCACAAAAGGTTAGCTTAGCTAATGCCAGGAGATTGGAGATGTAGATTGGATAATCACTCACCAGCAATGAGCAGCAGTGCGGCATCCATTACAGCGGCACCGTTCAACATGGTGGCCATAAGAATGTCGTGACCGGGGCAATCCACAAAGCTCACATGCCGCACCAGTCTGAAATTGCCAGAGCAGGCGGGTCGCGTGCAGGGCAAGCTGTCATCCTTGCTCGAGGCATCCGAAACAAAGCTGGCCGGGCGCGGGCACTTGGGATTGTCGCACTTGTAGATTTTGGCATTGGCATAACCTGGAAAACATATCGAAACAAGAATGCACACAAATGAAAACCTTTAAGCTCTTAATAAACCACCGAGCATCCATAGCCACCACTATATAACGTGCCATAATCTTTACAAATTGTATCTTATTTATTTGTATAATTCTGTTTATTTTTAATTGATAATGTGATATTTGGACAGTAATATATAGTCATATATCCTACATAAATAGTGATTTCAAATGCAATGTCAAATTGATAATAACAATAATAAAGTGCATGACAAATGATAAGCAGAAGCTGTTGTCCATATCTTAAACTTAACCGTGGGACAAAAATATTCCGAAAAACGATTGCATATTGCATATTGTGTAATACAAATTTAATATATAAAAAAAAAAACAAATAAAACCAATCGCTGGCGTTGTACATTTAACTTAAAATAGGACCTTCCGGCAATTGGCCGCCCCACACCGACACTGGACACGCGCAGCCGTCGATAGATTCTCATATGGCACCTCCTCGTTGTCCGCCCGAATGTAGTCAAAGCTGAGCTCCTCCCCCGCCTTAATCGGGCGAATGGTAAAGAAGACCAGATGTGGCAGGGCCGTATTTAAGTGCTCGATCCAGCATGGGAACACGGCCAGATTGGGATCACACGAATGATTGATAAAATGCGATATATTGCCAAAGTTGGCCGCGTCCACCGTATACTCGCTATCCCGCGATGTATTGTAGTCCAGATCAAACAGATAGGTACGCCCATTATCGTCATAGGCCTTGCCACGCTCATTAGCCTCCTCGCACGTAATGATCTCGCCGATATATTCGCAGACAAACACTCCCTTCTTCAATGGCTGCGGTGTGCGGACACCCCAACCACTGCCATTGCTGGTTTTAAAGAGCACAAGCGGATGCTTTCGTCCATTCTGTACCACACGATTCGTGCAACTCTCGTCGCAGGAGCATCGACTGTTGCACTCATAGATGGCACTGCCCGGCCGGAGCCGCAAACGTCCCGTGGTACGATCGTAGGCAAAGATTTCACCAGCCATTCTTCCACAACACATGGAGGAGGCGGTGCATTGTTCTCCGCTCTGGTGGCGGCACATACAACCCACAAGTCCAGCCTGCGGCTTGGGTACCCCTGCTCCAATTATGTTCTTTTGTATGTACTTGAAGCCGCTGTCAATCGTGTCCAGATCCCAATTGTTCTCCACTCGTATGGGCGGCGACGGCAGCTCGACTCGATTCATTCGGTGTTCAAACAGCAATAAATCAATCAGCTGCTTGCGCCGTGCAAAGTGAGACCGCCTGACCTGCATGCGGTGCAGGGCCCGCGCACCGATTCGCTCGGGTTCCCGCTGGCTGCGGCTGGCAGCGGCACGGTATTGCGCTAGCAGTATAATATCAATCTGCAACTCGAGCGGATCATAGGCATCAATCTCTGCAATGCTAATAGTCTTAAGATCTTCCGTCTGCGGTATGTCCGACAACTGCGTATCCAGTTCCCCCGTGAGCTGGGCTATATAATGCTGATGCAGCTGTAGATGACGCTCAACAAATTTTTCCATTTCGGCACAATCAGATAGATTTACGTACGATTCCCATGTGTTCGCGCTGACATCGTATCCCAGCCATTTCACAAAGAAAACGGGCTGAAACTGGACCACCTCGACGCTCTCGATTTTCTCCACAATGTACTCGCCCTTGGGTCGCCTCTTCACAGTCGTTCCATCGTTTTTCCTGCTCCTTTTGGCTGCTGGAGTGGGTATCTGGACACAGTTGCTACGTCGTCGCTTAAGAACGTTCGGTTTCAGGACCAGCTGTGATGATTGATCGCTATCATCGCAGCCGAGGATGCTGCCATAGCCGCTGCTGTTGCTGGGACTTAATGAGTTTAGGCTGGTGCTGCGAAGACGCGGACGAGCTGTTTCCATGGATGGGGCTAGCACTGAAGCGGGGGCAAGGGGTGTCATTGCCCTGGCCTTTCGCCGCTCGGCGAGAATCCGTAGCAGCTTTTGCTGCTGGATATCGTATTTGTGTCGCTGGTGTTTGGATTTCAAAAGTAGCTTGATTTTCTTTTCGCTTAAGCGTTCTGCAAATGACAATTGTTTTGGACATGTTTTTTTTTTGTGGGTCGCGCGGCGTGTGGTGTCGCGCGTCGTTGGGCAAACGAAAAAACGGGAAAAGAAGAAAAAGATTTGCAATTAATTAAATTGCTGGATTATCAGTCAATCAATCATAATAAACAATCAATCATTGCAAGAGGTCTAAGCATACAGGAATAGAGAGATAGATTCCTAACAAAAAGACGCAACTGCCTTCTTGTACAACTTTCTTTTCAACTCTTTCTATCTACACAAAGGCGACGACACACCTTGGAAGAGGCACAGCGTGCTAATCCAGCAATTTAAATATACAAATTACACAATTACAAAAGGAGAACAATCATTTACAGAACGCTTTTTGACCATTTATAAATCGATGCAAACCAGCGACATTTCAAAACTAATTTAAGGAGCAGGCTATAACTCGCAGGCAGCAGCAGCATTTGGCGGCTACCTACGCGGGTGTGCCGTCGTCACAGTGTACTTAAGAGGCTAAAGATCGCTTCGGAAATGCTTGAGTCGATCCAACCACACAGGGGAGGAGATCAGAGCCCAAATGCTTAAGCCATTTACATTGATACATGAGGGTTAGGTCTAATTTAGTTTAAGTTATTGCTTTACAAGTATAGAGTAGTATATCATCACCACATGTTGCATATCCCTCCACTCACCGAGCTTAATTGTAATGTTGCGCTCCAATTCGTTTTTAAAGCGGACCGTCTGCACGCCGGATATGGCTTTGACTACGGTGGACTTTCCGTGTGCTACATGTCCGATTGTGCCGATGTTGATGGTCGCCTGGCGCGAGATCACCTCGGGCGACAGAGGTGTAAGGTTGCTGACTTCCTGCAAGAGGCATAGGGTAGACACAAAACAATGATCAATGAATGGAGTTGCGTACTGTGGGGGATGTTCTTATCGTGTTTTACCACCCCCTCTATACGCTAAACTTATCGTAGTATACGCACGAGAATGTGTAATGTGTGTGTGTGTATGGGAAAGCCGTAGATTTTGAGGTTAGAATGCCATTTGTATTGCATCAGATAGACTGGTGGCAACAAATGTGCCGCTCAATTTCCACAAAACCACTCACAAGATGCGACACATTTCAGACATATGACAAATGCTAGATGCCCTGCACGAAAAAACCCCTGAAAATCCGCATAAGCCCAGAAACTAACGCCACGTGCTGCATTTTTCGTGTCTACGCTCACCCCCCGTGGGTGTGAGAAACAACAAAATGTTGTGAGCAACACAGATACTAGCTTAAATGCTTTAAGTTAAATTGTTGTGGCTGCTTTAAGAAATTATTTTTTTTTCCATACAAAGATATCTGGGCGCGTCCTTCTGACTCCGCACCCCGCCGTTTTCAGTGGAAGCGGCACAATAATGACGACGCGTACACTTTCACACGGGCAAAAAGAAGACGAGATGTCGCGAGTAGATTGCAATTTTCGTATGCTTACCAAATTCCTAAGGTCCTGCTTTTGCAAATTCCGATTCACATTGACTTGAGCTTCAGCCGTGGCCATGTTTTTAATGTTTTTAAAAACGATTTATATATAAAATTATAAAATTAATCTCCAGCTCCTTCACCTCGGCATCAAATATTCTCTGCGCGTGTTGTAAAGGGCGGAAAACACGAATGTAGTTTGCTAGTGTTACAAATCGAGGATGAATGCTTTTATTCGATAGGTGGATAGTCGATCCGATGGTTCCGGCCCGCGATATATAGACATTGCAATTTTTCAAATTATTTCGAAAACGAAATGCTCCTTGTTGCTCCAAGAATTGCCTTCCGTAATTATTGCGTCGGCTCGTTGTTTGTTTTTTTATGTAATGCCTTTTTCCCCCAGGCTCTCCACAAAATTGTACAAGTTATTTTTATTTTATTTTTCTGTGATATGTATCTCGATGGTCGAAAAAACCATCGATACATTTTTATATTTTATATATGAATATTTTAATATTCCACCGAAAATGATACAAAAAATTTAATCATTTTAGCGCGTGGTTTTTTATGTTCAGGGGAAAGATGGCATCTACAAGCAGAATTTACATTTAATCAGTAATATTATCCGCCATTTACTGCCAGCCGTTCCACTGTTAAAATAGAGGGGGCTTTAGCGCGCTAAGCTCGATTATTCATCGGTATATTTCTGAGGGTCGGTCACACTGGTTCTGCCGCAAACGAAAAAAATCCGCTCCTGCTCGTCGACTGTACCGCCGTTTTGCTGAAATTGTTTTACTTACTTGTAAAGTTACTTGTAATTGCACAAGTGTCACCCACCCACATACCCAGACTCACCCACACACAATAAAAAAACGAGCAGAATGTCGAGCGTGCCAAAGCGACCAAAGTTGGATGGAGCCGTCATCGATGGATCTGCCGGTACAAATGAGGAGGAGTCTGAGGCGTTGGAGTTAATCGATGCCTGCCAAAACGAGATTGATGCGCTAAACGAGAAGGCCAGCGAGGAGATCCTTAAGGTTGAGCAGAAATACAACAAACTCAGGAAGCCGTGCTATGAGAAAAGAAGCGAGCTCGTTAAGAGGGTACCAAACTTCTGGGTGACATCGGTAAGTCTATCTCGCATCTTTCCGGTCCCGGCCATGAGTTGCATGGTGTGCGTTTTCATGTTAGGAACCGACTTTCGTGCTCCAAGTGTTTAAAAAGTGGCGGCAAAGCTGATACAGCAGGATAGACAGAAAATTTAATGGTTTCTGCCCCCAAACACCCATCAGTTCCATGAAAATTGTCTCTATTCAGGCAATTTTTTTTCTTCATCTTTTGATGCCGCCGCCATCGCCGCACCGCTCTTTTTCTGCGCGAGCGTGTGAGTGTGTGTATCGATAGATGTGTCTGCCTGTCTGCTAGAAAAACAAGCTAATTTTACGTGCAGCTTGAGTTTAATAACTTGAGATAAAGCTGTTTCCGCATTAAAATGACTTTATTTTGCTTCCTTGTGTTGCAAATTATATAAAAATTGCGTACTTGCTGTGCAATGGCGCCGGAAAGAGTGTCGACTATCGTTATCGATTGTGTGCTGTGCTGTGCCATGATAAGGTCCGTAATTCAATTCTCTCCCCATTTCAGTTCATCAACCACCCACAAGTATCAGGCATCCTGGACGAAGAGGAGGAGGAATGTTTGCATGCCCTAAACAAGCTGGAGGTTGAGGAATTCGAAGATATCAAATCTGGCTATCGCATCAATTTCCATTTTGATGAGAACCCATACTTTGAAAATAAGGTGCTCACCAAAGAGTTCCATTTGAACTCAGCGGGTAAGATATGATCTCTCAAACTGCAAATGTAACGTGTTTAAATTTGTTCCTTAACCGCCTTAACAGCTGCTTCAGAGAACGGGTCGGACTGGCCAGCGTCGACTAGCACTCCCATTAACTGGAAGGAGGGCAAGAATCTGCTGAAACAGCTTCTGACGAAACCCTATGGCAACAAGAAGAAACGCAATTCCGAATACAAGACCTTCTTTGATTGGTTCTCGGATAACACCGATCCCGTCAACGATGAAATTGCAGAACTGATAAAGGATGATCTTTGGCCAAACCCACTGCAGTATTACCTAGTACCTGATATTGAAGTGGAGCCAGAAGACGAGGAAGATAACGACGACAACGAGGAGGAGACGTTCGAGGACGAAGACGGCGAGGATGGCGAGGGTGAGGACGACGACGAAGATGAAGGTTAGCATTAATCATCGTATGCAAGTAAAACAAATGTAAATTAAATAATCAATTTTTTCAGATGACAAGTAAACCCCCTTATTGTATGGATAAACAGAAAGCCCAAAGTTTTTTTTTCCCTCCCTCTCGCAACCAATTTTACCATTATATTTGATTCTATGAGAAATTCGTAGAGCTACAGTCAACCCCACAATTAAAGTCAAAACCCAACCCTTTTTTATTTGAAGTAAAAAATCGAGCGCGTATTGGCAATGAAGAAAAATTAAAAGGAATTTTTAAATTACAAATAAAAAACGACAGACGTGAATCTCTTAACAGAGTGGGCTTGAAGCATAGCTTTTATTTTTAAACCCAATAGGTTAGGTTTGTATTAAGTGAACATTAGTTGTATTAAGGATAAGATATATATTTTGGGAGTCCTAACCCTTGAGGCTGGTCAAGCCAGCACGCATTACCTCGTCGACGAGCAGCAGATTTCCGGCTATGATTGAGCACGAGTTGATGATCTGCTTCTTGACAATGTAGTTGTCGTAGATGCCCATATCGGCGGGCTTCATGGGCTCACCGGTGGCCAAATCGAGCCCAACTAGATCGGGGGTCAAGCGATCCTCGGTGACGAGCTTCACAATGGTGTCCTGAGCATCGTAGCCGCTGTTAATGGCCAGAGTTTTGGGTACCACCAGCAGGGCATCAGCAAAGGCCTGAACTGCCAGGCGGGCCTTGCCCTTGATGGTGTCCTTGTAGACCAACAGCTCGTTGTAGGCACGCACCTCGAAGGCGCCAGCTCCAGGGATCAGAGCCTTGTCGCGAATTGTATTGTTGATGGCGCGCAGCCCGTCGCGAATGGCATCCTTGATCTGGAGTATGGTGTGCTTGTTGGGGCCCTTGATCAGAATGGTGACCGAAAGCGGATGCTTGCAGTCCTCCACAAAGGTGTATTTGTTCTCGCCCAGAACATGCTCGTACACGACACCTGCATAGCCGAGATGCTCCTCCTGCAGATCCTCAAAGGTGTTCAAGGCGGTCCCGCCGCAGGCCAAAGCCAAACGCTCCATGTTGCGACGCTTGGCGCGACGCAGAGCTAGTATGCCCTCCTTGGCGAGGGCATCCAGGGAAAGGGGATCTATTCCCTTCTGGTTGATCAGCACGAAAGTCTTGTCTGTGCCGTCGCACAGCGAACGCTTCAGATCGATCACCTTCTTTACACGCTGATCGATAAAATCACGCTCAGCCCGGACGAAGGCCTCGCGCTCCTCGGCTGTCTTGTAGAAGAAGCCAGAATTGACTTCAGCCTTCTCGTACTCCAGCGAGACATTGGCCGTGAGTATGTAGCATTTTTCCAAACGCTTGGGCATCTCCGGATGGCGGCCACCATGATCCATGACCAGACCACGCACCAGCTGTGTGTCCGTGGCGGTCTTGTGCTGCATTTCCATCAGCTCGACCATGTGCAGATCAACGGGCTTCAGGGTCCCATTCGCAATGGTCAGTATGGCGTCCACACACACCTCAGTAAGTAGATCGGCCAGAACGGGATGCACCTTAGTCTTCAGACTGGTGTTGGCCACCTCCATCAGATTCTTCTTGTTGATTTCCACCGGAACTTTGCAATTCTCGAGTACCTCGAGCGTCTTTTCACGGGCCTTGTCAAAGCCAGCGGCCATGATGCGTGGATGCAAGCCCTCCGACAAGTATATGTCAGCCTGCTTAAGCAGCTCTCCAATTAGAATCACTGTAGTTGTGGTGCCATCCCCAGTGGAATCGTCCTGGGCGGTGCTGGCCCTGGCAATCATCGACGCAGTTGGATGCTGAATTTGCATCTCATGAAGCAGGACATTGCCGTCCTTGGTGATCTTAATGTCGCCGGCGCCAGAGACCAGCATTTTCACTGTTCCTTTCGGCCCTAGATTGGTACGCATCACATCCTGCAGACCCTTGGCGGCGCTTATGTTGATGGCCAGAGCCTGGGCGGCACGCGCAATCTCGGCCTTGGGATTCAATAAGCTAATCGAAGCCATTTTTTTTTACAATGAATACCTTTTATAAAGTGAAAACTGAGCTTGAAGTAAAATCGTGCGTGCGGCCTGATTTGACAAAAATTTGAACAGTATGACCATATGCCCGCCTAAACCGTTAGGTTAGCGTTAGTGCAACTATCGTTTTGCTATCGGCGCTGAGCAACCCTGGCACACGTATCGAAAGGTCTTCCAATCAGAGTAACCCTGTTGTCACAGCTGCGATTTTAGCTGAAAAATTCTTTGGACTAAAAACGATGGCCTCCATTAACAAATTGGCAATTGTGGTATGTTTTGGGCATATAATAAAATAAAATAAACTTTTCTCAGTGCCAGGCGATGGAATTAAAATGTCAGAGTGTGAAAAATACGCGATAAAAGGCCTGCCTTCGAATCAATAATTATCTAACGCGTATTTGTTGGTTATGTAATTTGCAAAAATTAACCAATTCTCGGTCTTTTTAATACAATTCAGACAGCAATAATGAAGATTAATTGAAATTTCCGCAGAGCCGTGCACTAGCCACCGCCGCTGCTTCAACGAAGTCGGTGAAGCCTCCATTGCAGTTGTTCGGTCTGGAGGCTCGCTATGCCACCGCCTTGTACTCGGCTGCGACCAAAATGAACACGCTGGACCAGGTGGAGAAGGATCTGATCGCTCTGCAGACGTCTCTCAAGACCGATAAGAAGCTGCGCGAGAATGTGACCAGCCCGATCATTAACAGGAAGGTCATGGCCATTGCCCTGAGGGAGGCATCCGGCAAGCTTAACTTTGCCCCAGCTACGGCCAACATTTTGGGTCTGCTGGCCGACAACGGTCGCTTGAAGAAGCTCGATAACGTCATCACCGCCTTCAGGACCATCATGGCTGCCCACCGTGGTGAGGTTGTCTGCGAAGTGGTTTCTGCCAAGCCTCTGGACTCATCCCAGAGCAAGCAGTTGGAGGGCGCACTCAAGGTACTAGTCACCGTCCCCAGTCTCATATATCTGTCTGCTATGCTTCTATTTGACATGTCGATCATTTGCTTTTGCAGTCTTTCTTGAAGGACAACCAGTCGCTGAAAATCACCTCTCGTGTGGATCCTAGCATCATTGGTGGTTTGATCGTTTCCATCGGCGACAAGTACGTCGACATGAGCATTGCCACCAAAGTGAAGCTCTACACAGATGTCATGCAGACTCCTGCCTAGGCCTGTAAGGATTAGCTCTTGATTAAATGCCAACAACCGAAGCGTTTGGAATTCATGCGGAATTTGCGAATAAACCACTCTTCACCCCCCAAATATAGCAACAAAAGGCGTTTGCAATGTGCGCTTTAGCTTCCATAATTGTATTCTTGACTGGCACAGATTGTGTTAATTCCGTGTCGGTAAACTGTAAACTGGCGCGCCCAAACATTATTTTGTACTTTTTCTGGTCGCCATCGTCTGTACGCTTTTGTCCTCTTTCGGATCCGGAGCTGCTGCGTCCGGTGCTGCTGGATCCGCAGCTGCTGAATTTCCACTGTCGGATGGCCCTTGCTGTAACTCCTCCATCTTGGCCTGGATGGTTTTCTGCAGTTCGCTTTGCTCTGCCAGTAAGCAGTACAGCTCCTTGATGCGTGCCGCCTGCAGTTCAAGAACCTTAGTGCTATTCGATGTAGCCGCTGTGTCGAACCAGTTGGCACCTTCTGGCAACTGTGACAGGGTTTCGCTTTTCCATTGACCGCAGTTATTGCCATTTTCATTTGTCATGCCACAGATGCATATGGGTGGACATTTGCTACAGCTTGGACCCTGGTCAAGCACTAGGACGTCCGCGCAGTTCTCATCCTGCTCCTCACCTTGGCAATTGCCTTCCGAATCGTTGGTGGAAGCGCGGCATACTCTATAGTTGGGATGATCAAGGTCCTGGAAAGCGGCACGCTCGTTAGCATCCGTTAGATCCGACTGGAGCAATCGAATCTCACTAAGGGGCGACGGCTGGAAGGTTTCTGGACAGATATATTCGCTAGCATCGCAGCTCTCTTTTGGAGACCCTGCCATGAGAAGGACATTAACAATATTCGGTTTATTCTTCCCAGAACAAGTCTTTCCAGGACAAGTCTTCCCAGGACAAGGCTTTTCCTGTTCCTGTCCACTCTGCATACCCTGAATAATGAGGCTCATATCAACTTTACTGGCCTTGGCAGAGGGCCCCTTAGTTGGGTACACAATGCTATTAGTGGAGGCAATGGAGAATGGTATTTTGGCTCTGCATCCCCCTGTCGGAGGGGGTCTATTCGAGCAATTTGGTTGCGGTGCAGGTGGTTGGACCATTTGCGAGGCATACTGGACCCCTTGGTCCATCATGTTGCATGCCGGACAGCACTGGCCCATCGCTTTCTTGCTTTGCATATTAGAACCAGGCCCTGATCTGGAATTACTACGATTTTTACGCTTTTGCTGTCTCTGTGGCATTTGTTGTTTCGCACTTTTCTGTTGCGGTTGCTGCTGGGACAACATTCCTCTTTGCTGGCCGAGTGTATTATTTAAGTTGAGGTAAATGCTTTCTGCGGTGTCCTGCTCTTGTTGCTGCTGCTGAGTACATTTCTGTAATGGCGGCAGCCTTGTCATTTGTTGGCATTGATCTCTGGCGTTGCTCTCCATCATTTCCCTCTGTTTGCATTGGGCGCAGGCGCTGCACGTAGGACACCTTTGTGGACATGGTATACTCTGGGACATGCAAGATTCAGTGGCTCCTGCTTGACGCCCCATCGACTGATATTCGGGGCTTACCAATTCGGAACCTCGCCCCATTTGATTGCCCCCCTGATTGTTCAAAACTGGACAAGTACTACGCAAGCATTGCGTCTGCGAATAGCTGGCAAATTTTTGGCCACCTATGCCCTGTTGATTCATCATTCCGGATGGATAGAATGGGACTGGGTACGGACGTTTTGGGTTAGTGCCTCTATTTTTGGAGCATCGCCCTTGATCATCTCTACATCTGCGAGTATTCTCACTGCCAGATCGCTTTCTCTGACAAAGTTCATGCTTAAATCCTTCCAGGTGGCTGAAACTCATGACCTCTTGATTCGCCATTTCCGATGCGCAGCTGGCGCTTGGGCTTGGCCTTGGACTATTAGGATTAGTGCAAAGATTTTCCGACCATCGCCGTTGATCATCTGTACATCTGCGAGTATTCTCAGTGCCCGATTGCGTCTTCTGGCAAAGTTCATCGTTAAATCCCTTCAAGTGGCTGACGCAGACACATGCCCATTTGCGATATGTAGCCACATCCAGATTGGACGAATTAAGATTTGCCAAATTCAACCATCTACGCGCCTCCACAATGGTGGTTGGAATGATGTAGTCTCCAATTGGCTTCTCGCCACAGACGATACAGCGACGACCCATTTCAAATTTACAAAAACAGATAACAGTGGAATTTGGAATTTTATTTTACAGTATTTTCCATGCTGTGATTGGTATTTTTTTGTGGAATTTTGGACGGCGTTATCGTGTGCGTCCCAGCGTTGCATTCACCGATAAGTCCATCGGTTTTTGCAGCTGCGCCGCAGCTGTGTTTCTTTCTGTTTCGTTTAAAAATAGTAAATGCAACGAACTTTTGTGTGTACTGCTGTCCCAGTTTTGATGACTAAGCTTGCCAGCTGAATAATGAGTTTAGCAAATGGAACTATGGCTATGATTAGCCCCCCGAATAGCAATATGGATGCAACGAATCGCGGTACCTGGGAGAAGGTCCTGGCTATGCTGATACTTGGCCTAGGCAGCTTCCTGTCTGGTATGCTTCCTGCCATTATCTCAGAGCGCAACAGGAGACGATTCCCACTGACTACGTCGCTGCTGTTGTGCTTTGGCGCGGGAATTTTGCTGGCCACAGCACTAGTTCATATACTGCCTGAGGTGAGTGTTTGCGTTGGGTTATGTTACCCGGAATGTAATTTGAATATCCATCCATCCTCCTTCTGGCTACACCCAACAGGTGCGCGAGCAAATGAATTCGAAATTCGCTGAGGTGGCCATGTGTGGAGGTTTCTTCATCATCTACTTCATTGACGAGTTTATACACTATTTCTTCGGCGAGGCCATCCAGCATACGCACAGTCACGGCCATGAACATGAACCTGAACCCTCACATGCACATGTCCAAACCGACCCAGACAGGGACCACAATGGATATGGCGCAATCAGTGAACGTGCGCCCTTGCTATCAGCACAGCAGCAGCCGGCGTCGCATTCACATTCCCACCACAACGAAAAGTAAATCAATTGCATCCCCCTCTCGACCCTATTAATTGATTTTTTTTTATATGCAATAGCCATGATCACGCCTCTTCCGGCTGTAATGATGCCAGGGTAGAGGATGCGAATGCCCGCATATGTCATACCAGCCACACGGAACCATGTGCCCAGTCCATGACGGGTACTCTCGGCCTCTTTGTTGCATTGTCTCTGCACTCGGCCATTGAGGGACTGGCGATTGGGGTACAAAACTCATCCACAAAGGTCTGTACATAGTCTGGTCTTGACATAGTTTTCAGGCCTCACAATAGACAGCCAGAGGCCGCAATCTTTAGCAAATATTAGAAGCTTCGCCAAGTTTAATCTAGTTAGATAAGCCCCCCTCTTTTGTTCTTTGTTTCTTTTTAGGTCTTATTTCTTCTTGGCGCTGTGGCTTGCCACAAATTCGTGATGGGCTTCTGCCTGGGCCTAGAGTTTCGCTCCAATCCTCAGACCAGTGTGCGCTCCCAATTCATTGGCATCTTGGTATTCGCTTTGGGTGCCGTCTGCGGCATTGCCCTGGGTATGCTTATCGTGGATGTGCCCGCCGAATGGTCTTCGAAAACTCTACCCATTGTTCAGGCTTTGGCCGGCGGCACGCTCTTCTACGTCACCGTCTGTGAAGTGATACCCCGCGAGAAGGCACGCTGGCATTCGCATCCGACGCGACGCTGGGCGGGATTTGCGCAATTTGCGACTGTTGTTGCCGGCTTTGCCACCATGTGCATTATAAACTTTTATCTTTCTGGTACGTATCGCTGTGAGGCTGCTGTCTATGGGCCGCTTCTAATCTCCGAAACCTCAATTTCAGATGAGGAATGAGAAGAATCTTTGTCGGCAGAAGGATGACGTTTGCGCTGTGTTCTTTTCATTTTTAAGACATTAATTTAATTGGGCAGCTCATTGTTAATGTTTAGGAGAATTTTTTATAGATATGTACTGTAGGTTTGAAGAATCTTTGTTATAGAATAAAACGTATTTGTATCTGGATTGACGGCTTTTAGTTGCTGCAAAAGAAGCAAATCAAATCAATTAAATTTCACACATATTTTCTACATTTATATTTTTCCTTTTTTTCTCTCCAAAGTATCTGTTTTGTTTGTGTATTTGTTTTTGTTTCTGCTATAATGATAAACCTTAAGATCCTAAGTTGGTAATCAAAAAAAATCGGTAATTTTTTCTGTTTTGTTTTGTTTTTTCTTTTGTTTTCATACCTAAACAGTTATCGTTCATTGCAATAATAATCTGCAACTATAATCTTTATGTTTTAAACGAATTAAAACAACATCTATATGTAACTATATATCTCTATACGCGTGTGTGTGTGTATATATATATATTTATGTATATATAAAAGGGTTTATCTAAAGGTAATTTATGTTGGGTTGATTGTTAAGAAAAATAATGATAAAATATCAAAATGTGCGGGGGATTTGTTGGTCTCTGGATCTCTGATTAATGCTGATTTTTAGATGGGTTTAAGGTCGGGCGGTTGGAAGGGGGATCAATATTTATAATTACGTGAGACTTTCAGATTAGATCTTATACATATCTTTGTGTATAGTTTTTTATGTATGGGTATGCTCTTCTCAGTCCTTATTTAACTAATTTAATTTACAATCGAAACCGAAAAATCTTCTGGACTTCAGATAGGCTTTCTGGCTACCCTTTGGCCTGACACGACAGTGTAGAAAAACGAAACTTAGAACATAAATAAATCTAGTAATTATAGTTCCGCCTTTGCCGCAGCACTAACCCCATTCTCATCCTCATCTTCATCATCATCGGCCCATTCGCTGATGAGACTCTTTACCTTATCCGCACTTGCCGCCTCCTCTACCTCAACGATTGCCGACGCCGACGTCTTATCTGTGGCGGGTCCTGCATCGCTGCTGCTGTTTGGCGTGTCGTCAACCTTTGCTTCCTTTGATGCAGCCTCCACTGCTACTGTCGTCTTCCCATCATTGTTATTTTCAGCTGTTGTCTCTGCTTCCGGCTCAATGATCTCCGCCTGGCTTGGCTGATCGGCAGGCAGTTGGGTTAGAGGCACCAGATCTGCATCCGTCTCGGTACTGTCTGTTGTGTCTACTGTGGTCGCTGCTGCTGCTTCTATCGCTTCCAGGGGAGTACTACTCTTGTCATCTTCGGGCGACTCTGCCTGGGCTATCAATTCATCCAGCAACTCCTTGCGCATATTGTCCGTCTCCAAATGTTCCTCTTCCTCCCCCACCACATGCTCATCAGTGTTGGCAGGTAAGGCTGTACTTGAATCGATTTCCGCATCTGGCGTGGCTTCATCTGCTCCTGTCGCATCTTCTTTGATGAACTCCTGCTCCTCCTCATGCTCTCGCTTGATATTAATGTCTGTCTCTGTTTTCGTAGCAGCAGCAACAGCTGGTGCGGTGTCCTCCTCAGCCGTATCCGTGTCCACATCCATTCTTTCGTCCTGTCTAGTTGTTGTACTGGTGGCCGGGACTTCTACACCGACTTCTTCCTCGCAGCCACCGGCCGCAGCAGGCTGCTCTGCTGCACTATTGGTCTTTGATGACGTATCGTCGGTGCCCTTGTGCATCGATTTTAGAGCCAAATCAATATCGTCTTCCTCCTCCTCTTCAACGATATTGCTTTCCTCAGCCATGGGCTGGGTTTCCACTGTTTTCTCGGTCTGTTGTTTGCCGAGGACAGTCTCTGTGCTTCCAGGCTTTTCCATATCCATCATTTCATCCTCATTCTCGTCTTCGGTCCAATCGCCCGTTAACTCCTTTAGTTTTTCACTAATGTCATCGCGAGGTTTCTCTGGTTTCTGCAAAGAAAAATATTATTTAATGACACGATTCCTCTTTAAATGAGAGATGGGGAAAAGACGTACCTCTTTGCTGTTTTGCTCCTCGGATTCGGCAATTAGATTCTCTGCCCATTCCAAATTGTCAATGGACTCTTTGCTCTCATCGGCCGCACTGGTGCCGGTCTCGCTCTTTTTGCCACTCTCCACTGAATCGGCAGCACCGAGTTCGCTGTAGATCTGACTGTCGTCGTACTCCTCTTCGGTGCCGGCCAGGGATTTGACATCGCCCTCTTGCTTTGCGTTTTCCGCCTCCGGCTCGCTGAGTACCATTACCACACCGCCGGCGGCGGCGCCTGCTTGTTGTTGATTCAGCTGCGAGAGAATCTCCTTTCGTTGCTCGTCTGTGAGCTCCACTTCATTGCCATCAGCTCCAACGAACTTCACCTCCTGCGGCTGCTCCAAATCCTCATGCTCCTCCTCCTCCACTTCTTGATCAGCGCTGACCCGCTGCGCTGCTATGGCACTGTGGGCAGGCAAACTGATGTTTGAGAGTATGCGAACCTTGCCCTCCGGCTCTTGCTCTTGCTCTTCCTCAGGTTCCTCTTCTTCGTCGTCCTGTGAGCCTTGATACTCCTCATCCGTCTCATCAATGATGCCATCCTCCAGGGCCTGGGTCTTGTGGTAGCCCTTCATGTGCTTGTACAGCTGCAGCTCTTGATCAAAGACCTTGTTGCAATAGATGCACTGTTGCTTGTTCTCGTCCGTGTGTGCCTCATTGATGTGACCCTCGAGGTCGGCTTTGGTCAAAAACGTTTGATCACAGAGGGCACACTCGGCGAAAGTGTAGAGCTGCGATTTGATCTGGTGATCCGTGTACATGTGGAAATGCAACTCCCTGTTGTTGGCCGATCGCCAGCCGCAATGCTCGCACAGTGCCGGGTCGATGGTTTCCTTATGCGTGTTAATGAGATGCCGCCTGAAGCCCCTGTACGAAGGAATGCTAATGGGCCGTCCATTCACTCCACACCGTAGACACAGCCAGGGACCTGATGACAAATTGAAACGAATATTTATTAGCAAAATGTTTGGGTATTAAGATTAAACAACATTCTACGTACCGGTGGTATTCTCAGCTCCCTGTGCAATCAAAGTATGCATCGTCTTGCTGTCGATTCGACGCTTCTGGGCTGATGCCGCTGCCGTGGAGCTGGCTGTTATCGCTGCTGCTGCCGCTGCTGATGTCTGGGCTGGGACGGACTGCGCTACTGCTGATGTCTTTTGCTGGGTCGTTGCCGTTGCCTTCTGCTGTGACGTTATCAACGGTGTGGATTTGTCCGTTTTGAAAGAAACATGCAGCTTCTTGTGCGGCGATGTGGGTCCCCCCGATGCCGATGAGGATTGAGTTGGCGCAGTGGCTGCTACTGCTGGCGAACCCCGCTTCACAGGGGAGGCTGCCTTCTCTGCGGGACTATTAGTTGGCGTATTGTTGGGCATAATCTTTAGCTTGATGTTCTTGTGGCCCTTGACGATATGCGGATACTGTCGCAAGACTTCGGCTATGATTTTGGTGTGATTCAGCTTGGCATTGGATGAATCCTTCACAATAATCGTCGGCGTCTGGCTGGGCGAGTCCTGTTTGAGGATGATGGTCGTTGTGCCATGCTCCAGCTGGGTCTGTGAGCCCTGCTGGGGAGTTGTCGGCTGGTTTTGCTTGGATGTGGATGGCTGCGGTGGCAAATCGTCGTCATCATCGTCTGCATGGACATCATCGTAGAGCATGCCGCCATCGTATTCAGGATCATTGTCACCAAATTCGGCCGCAATTTGCTTACGCATCCGCTGTTGTTCGGCAAATTCTTTGACCTCCTCTAGGCTGGGCTTCTTCGAAGGCGGCGACAGGAGACTCGTCTGTGCCGGTCGCTTATTGTTGTTGTATCCCTTGCGCAGCTGCTCAAAGGGAGAGGTGGGCTCTTGTTTGTTGCTTGTCGTCGTCCGAATCATTGTGTTCCCTATGCTCGCACGCTGGAAATTTGGCCTCAATGTGGCTCCCGAGGCTGCCCCCACAACTGTGTTGCTGACAACGCGGCTCTGCTGGGTCGGTACTGTTACGCGCTGTTGAGGACTACCTGTATTAATGGCTGGTCCCACTGTCCGGCGTCGTATACCCTTCGGACTGGGAGGCTAAAAAAAGAGGCAATAAAAATGAGTCTATGATTTGAAATATGATGAAACAATCAGCACTCACCCTCTGCTGGCGATTAACATTCTCCATGGTGCGACGATGTGCCTCCAATAGCTTCAGCAGCACTGTCATGTTCATCTCCTTGGCGGTGCGCAGCAGCTTGCCATACATTTTCAACTCAAACTCCAGGGTGCCCGTGTACATAAAGTTGACAATGGGCACCACAACATCCGCCTGGAACTCGTTGGGCATGATGAGGGCGTCGTCGACTATTTCGCACTGTTGCTCCAGAGCATTGAAATAGTCGGTGCAAGCGCTTAGAACCAGGCGATGCACTTTTAATTGTGAATTATCACGGAACTGCAGTGTTAGGTCGCAGTAGTCAGTTTTGTTAAAGAAATTCTGCAGCTTCTGCAGGAAGAAGACTCCCCAGTTGTCCACTTTGACCGATTTCACTTCTCCCATTATGGTGGCTGCGTTCTTCTCAACGTTGTTATCCTTGGCAAGTATTGTTGTTCTTCTTATTAAATGGAACGCGCGCGCCCTCCCCGTTTGTTGTTGCTCTAGCTGGCTGATGGCGCAACTGTACTCCGGACCAAGGGAAAGGAAATTTTATATTTAGGACACGCGGCCACGTTGATGCCAAAAACAGAATGAAAAGAAGCAACACAGAAACAATTATTAACTTTGTTTAGTTTGTTATGTTCACTTAGGATTAGCCTCGAAGTGCAGCTAAGGCGGGCGTCAATTGATTTTCAACAAACATACACTCTTTCAGTACTCTCTTTCGCTGGTGCTGCCGCCACGGCGCGCAATGCAACTCGGATATCGATAGATGGTATGTACGTGTGCCTATTTACGCTTCTGTGTGTGTGTGTAATGTGCGCGTCGCCAGGTTTTCTTTTAGCTTATTATTGCCGTTTCAACCTTAATTATTAATTAATGCCTACGAGCGTGGAAATATGTTTCAATTGTTCCGTTGATGCATTTATTTATTCTGATTTGGCGCCTCCCCTCCCCATTTCACACAACAAGCGAAGATTATAAGCACAAAAATTCTCTCTTGATCATGCTGGATCACAGGATACACACAATTTATCAAAACAATACCTTTGTTTTTTCAATTGATTTGATTTTGGTCATTTAAGTTCTTAATACATACATTAATTCGTATTGCACTCTTTTTTTGCCGGATAAATTCTAATTTTTTTCAGAGAGAACAACCGAAGCAGGCAGCCATGTTTCTTTTCCAACAGGGTTGAAAAGTGCACTTATCGATGTGTATACGATGAGTGCTTGGTCTGGTATTGAAGAGGTGACGCAAGTCCGTGGGGTGTATGCTCACAAAATGATATTGAATTCGGCCATATATGTCAGTGGTTTTCTAGTTTATATTAATTATAATGCTTAATACCCTTATATGCTGTTTAATGATATCGAGTGCATAAATAATGTGGCTCTAGTTAATTGATTCGTTCATCTATGGACGAGTGACGTCACAGAGCTCAGAGTGTAGCTTCACCTGCGTCACCTTACACTTTACAATTTGGTAGCGCTGCACCACGAGAAGCAAACCAAGTGGTTTTTGTTTAAATAATAACATAATAACAAACTAAACTGTACAGAATGACTGGCCGGAACAAGGGTAGAGGAAAACGTGGCGGTGGCCCCTATCGCAATGTCAAATCCAATCACAACTGTGAGCGCAGTTTTGCCCAGCAGGAAAATGAACTGGCCAAAAGCGATAGCGACAGTAACGATGACTCGGATTCGTCAGGTGGGGGTCCGGATGATCTCGGCCACCCACCGAACTTTTCGGTTGCCATGTGGGACCTCAATCACTGCGATCCAAAGAAATGCTCGGGCAGAAAACTGGCACGCTTGGGACTGATTTCGAATCTGCGCTTGGGGCAGAAGTTTCCCGGCCTAGTCCTGTCCCCCGTTGGCCAGTTGTGTGTGAGTCCACTCGATCGTGAAATTGTGGCTGCTTCTGGTGTGGCCGTGATTGACTGCTCTTGGGCCAAACTGGATGAGACACCTTTCAGTCGCATGCGTAGCCCACATCCTCGTCTTTTGCCCTTTTTGGTGGCCGCCAATCCCATCAATTACGGGAAGCCCTGCAAGCTCAGCTGCGTCGAGGCTATAGCAGCAACACTATACATTTGCGGTTTCACGGAAGAGGCACGCTGGTTCATGGGAAAGTTTTCCTGGGGTCATGCCTTTCTGGAGCTAAATGACAAGCTCCTCAATGCGTATGCGGCCTGCACGGGCAGCGATGACATACTCAAGGTGCAAAACGAATATTTGGAAACGGAACAGAAGGAGCGAAACAAGCCCAGGGACCTGCGTGACTTCTATCCCACAAGTAGCAGTAGCAGTGCCAGCGAGAATGAAGAAGAAATAAAAACCGAAAGCTAATCTTTACAAGGTTCTCTGATGTTTTATTATCAAAATACCATTAACTAATTACAAAACGTTGCGTGTTTTTTTTGTATGTTACAAACCAGCTGTGAAGAGCAATTCTCAAACTATTAAAAACTATTTGAATGAAATATTCATTTACAATTCTTCCTTCAAGTCAAAGAGAGTGGGACTACTAATTTACTGTGCATTGCGCACATACTCGGGGTCAACGTTTACAAAGTTATTCATGCTGAAATATACAGCGCTATTCTTCACCAGAAACTTGAGAAAATCCTGCAGGTGCACGATTAAGTTCTGCATGGCCTGCTGATCCAGCGCCGAGTATGTCAGCATAGAGCCCAGTCGCACGAAAAGGCGCAGCAAGTGAAAGGAACCATAGAGATCGGACAACGGTGTATCTGGATGCTTTTGCATCACATCTGCGTACTGTGTACGCTCAAATTTGTACAGTAGCTGGGAGCCCAGCATGACATTGAAGTACTCCACAATGCCTTCGAGTACATCGTTAATGGCCACCTCCTTGCTGGCACTGGTCGACTTGACAGACTTTTTGTGCGCCAAATACTGCTCGGCGATTTGCTGGATCGTCACCTTAGCGGGCAGCTCCAGCAGCTTGTGCTCGCGCACCACCGCATACCAGTCATCGGTCAGGTAGTGCTTCAGCTCATCAGGTATTTTGATTTTCACTTCCAACTTGTTGGTAAAGCTCTCTTCGCTTTCGACCCATGGTGCCGGTTCCGATGGCGGTGTGGGAGTCGTTGGTGTCGGAGTTGGTGCTGCTGGTGTTCCCTGCTTTTCGGCAGAAGTTGTGGTATCACTTCCGCTCAATGATGGACGTTGCTCGCTAATCCTTTTCTTTTTGGGTGGCACCACTGTGGCGCCGTCGTCCTCTGTGATCTCCCCTGTCGTTGCATCTTCTTTCTTTTCATTTGGAGTGCCGGGACGTGCCGACACTATTGCACTTTGTGTTGACTTGCGATTGGAACGACTAGTTGAGGTATTGGCGTTGGTGCTATTAGGGGTCGTGCTGATGTTGTTTCCACTGTCCGATTTTGTCATCGGTCCCGTACTGGAAGTGGGTGTACTCACCACCGACGGTAGAGATGTATTTCCCTCCTTGGAGGGAGTCGAAGCTCGAGAATCGTTGCCCACTTGTTCAATTTTTTTTGCCTTGGCGCTTCCTTTAAAACAAATAATAAATCAGTCAGACCGACGACGACAAGCAGGTGGTTCCACTTACCCTTCTTGTTGTCCTTCTTCGACCGCTCGCCGCATAGTCGCGCCTGTTCCTTTTGTCGCTGTACATTGTCATCATTGTATTTGAGCACACGGCTTTCGGGCACCCATTCGTCCCAGCTGTAAGAGGATTGGATTGTTGGTAACTCTTTACAGATTCTATATATTGTTCGGAATTGCATACTTTTTGCTCCAGCCTGCATAGTGGATGTAGTATTGGACCGGCGTCGCGTCAGGTTTTGTTTTGAGCACTTTGGCTTCGTAAATGAGCGGGCCGTGGAAGCACAGCACGCGTTCTCCTGCAAGGCGCGAATATATTTAATCAAATGCATGGTTGGGTCACAGGTTCTAGCTTACCATCTGCAAATATAGAGGCTGCATCTGCTGCAGATCCCACGGTTTCCATTTTAGCGGGTTTTATTTATTTTTATTGTAAAAACAAGAAAAGGCTAGTGATGCGAGTTGTCAAAGATGGAGAATGGCATCGCCTACTATCGATTGGATCTGAACTCTATCGATGATTGATAGTCACATAGTTATATTTATTTATAAATATATATAACAAACAGTCTTTATTAAACGTGTGCTTATACACTATACAATAGTTAATGTTTGGCCGGCGATGACAGTCCCTCCTCTTCCCAGGGACGTGGACCTCGTTTGTTCTCCCATTCATCTATGTTCACGGCCCTTACTTTGTCGTACTCCGTTTCCAGCGTAACTTCTTGGCGTTTCTTCATGTTCACGCCGTACTTCTTCATCTCATCGGGTGTCACCGGCTGCTTCTTGGAGTACTGGTACCTGCAATAGTTCCACATCAATCAGTTGGCATTGCTTTTGAGCTTGACTGACTGTTACCTTAAATTGGAAAACTGCTGCAGTCCAAAAGAGCCGGCCACCATCATGATGAGGAAGGGCACACCATATTTAAACGATTTTCGTTTACTATAATATTTTAGTTTGTCACTGAACGACATTATTTGTATATTATATCACAATGCTTATCGATACTATCGATGAATAACGAGCTTAGCCTACTTAACCACCTCCATTTAAACAGGACTTGAGACGCGGAGAATATGTTTCTAACATCTCCTTTTTGTAGATCCATGCATTCTCTTTCTCTACAATCAACATTTTCACGATATCTTTCACCTGAACTTTTTCAAGATTCATAATTTTTGTGGGGAGCGTTTTAATAGTCACTGGTCGACAATGGGTTAATCGTTCTCTGTCCGTGATCTGAAATCATATACATATCTCGGTTTTCATATTCGGTCTAATATTACTAGTTAGGATCCCCAGCTCTGAACACATATCCTATTAATAAATCGATTTCCTACAAAATTTTCAAATTTTTAGCACTCTCTTATATTGGGTTTTGTTTAAAATAAGGTTTAAGCGAAAAAGGACAAACAGATCGTAAAACGTAAGTGTATACGGCATGAAACGTAAGTATGAATGGAATGTTACGTCATTTTTGTGGGTCAACAGGGAATGGACATCTTTGTACCCTATTTCCTTTAATTAATATTAAAATACTGGTTTTCAAGCTGCCTTGAGACGTAATTAATAATGCCTTTTTCTTAGATTGAAGTGTTTTTTCCTATTTGTAAATTTCATTAGTTTCCTGCATTTATGTATATCTCTATGTATATACCTGTTCATGGACTCTGCAAGAATACCATAAATTTCAATATTTCGTTGAAGTAGCTTTAAAACATAGTCTGCATTCATTAAAGCCTTGGATGGAATGCAGGATGTTGCTCATTTCTCAATAAATGTAACGGATTTACAAATTTGTCCGTTTTTTAAATTAAAAACCCATGACTAGTACATTGTTTCATAGCAACCCTTTCTTATTAATAACATGGGTTCATCTGCACAAAGCATTCTTTCAATCACTTTCAAAAATCTGCAGCTGCTCCCGTCGATTAAAATAGCCCTGCCCTTGAAGCGGAAGCGAATTAAATGTATAGTACGCCTTGCCAAATTACGAGCAGTTTCTATAGAACAATTGTTTTCCGGCGTACGCCGATGCTTATGCACTTACATTTACATATGTGTGGCCTGGCATATAAGTTCAAGGTCGTATATCTCTTTAGTTCTCAAATAATTGACACTGACAATGTCGAAGAGCGCCAAAATGTTGTGTGTTCACATCGTACACGACATTTGATATGGCAAGCCAAACGGTCCGCTGGTTCACCTTGGCCGAGTCGGTCCCGGCCGGGCTGGGGGGCTAGGCAAGGCAAGTGGCTCATTGCAAAGATTTCCTTTTAGTACCAATAGCTATAGCTCTCAACCAGTTCGAGTTTTCAATTCATTCACAAGGAGCCGACGCGACACGCCGCCAATTGAGTCATCCACAGGCCCGCTCGAGACTGGGTTGGTCTCAAATCACACAGCTTTGAAGTCGTTACAAGATTATATTTCAGTTTCTGATGCACCCTACCTACCTGGCCTACACAACTCAGATCGAACAATCTTCTCTCATGGCTTCAGCACAGTCGTCTATGCCCCGCTGTTTCCACTTTTCCAGGCAATTTTCACCAAATATGGTTGCGATTTTCCTAACAAGATTGTGCACTTGTTGTCTGACCCAAGCTCTCGTACACGTACACGTACAATATATTTATTTATTTTTATTTGGTATATATTTTTTGGAATTATGAAAACTTTTGTTTTCCATAATACAGCCTCAGCCCCACAGCATCAGGTGGCCATGATTTCGTTTTTTCTTATTTAGCAAGTTGCTCACACATTTTCAATTTTTAACAATGTTCTCGATGTTGTCTCAAGGGTCTTTCTCATGGATATTTATTTAGGATGATAAGTATATACATATATTGATCTGTTTGCAAGACTTTTTTGTTTTGAATGAAAACAATTACGTCATTCGGTGGGTGTTGCTGGATTTAATTATAAATTTTTCAACAGTCTCAGTCTCAGTGCTGGCAAAAAAAAGACAACATAATTTTCTCCAAGAGAAAATGAAGAAAAGAATAAATATACTGAGATCAAATTGGGTTTTATTTATAGCGGACTTTGGCTGCAATCAGAAGACTTATATAATCAGTTTTTAGAACAACTCTTTAGCAATTTATTTAATACGATTAATTTAATAAATTTGTGTGCAATATTCTATACTTGCTTATAGGATAATCACCATTGTTGGAATAATCGTTGGAAATAAAAGAAAACCTTTAAGTTTTACCCATATTACTGGCAACAATAATGCTTTCTCATTTACTATTACCAAGATTGAATTAAACCATTTAATGGATACACCTTTACAGGTCTATTCCAATTGAAATAATATTAATTGTCCCTTTTTCTATAAATATATAAGCTTTGAATAAAATAAAACAGAAAATCTCCTTGTTATCCACTGAAAATATCTTACTAATTTATGATTTCGACTTTTTCTCAATGCTATCAAAAATTTGATAATTTAAGAAATCGTATGGATATCCCCAGTAACTTTTAGGATACATTTTGATGAATAGAACTGACAAATAAACATGCAAATTGAAATTAAACGAAACTGATTGATTAGAACCATATAAACTTTAACAGAATCTTCGAAATTTTACTCTATCCAAAGAATCTTTGCCTCTATCATTCCATCATCTTACAGATTTTAACAGATCAAGAACTACCTGATTCGGTGATGAAAAGTATACCCTACTTAATTAATACATTGATGGTTTATTCCTTTGTTTAAAAATTCAATTTTAATATCTTATCATATACAAAATTACTAGTACATAAAAAAGCGTGATCAATGGGTAAAAATAGTATCTACAAAAGAGAACCGTATTTTATATAAGCTACTGATCTTCTGAGATCAAGAGGAAATTGCATTTATGCGATTTCCACGTTCCGCTCGATACATGAATCATGGTACATATAGGGGTTTTCTTCCGAGAGCGTTACCAACAAGCAGGCAATATAAAAAGTACAATTGTACTTTGACATTAATGATTGCCAACAAAATGTTTCCCGTTCGTAGACATGACGTTGAAAAATCTATAGAAAAACACCCAAATTATATAGAACAAAAAAATAATAATCCGTAGACCTATGGTGTCTGTATATACCTATTTGAAACAAGATTTTTTTTGGCATATCAATAACTGAAAGATAAAAATAGGCATTGAAGAAAGAACCAAAAAGCAAAACAAAAAGATACACGCACACCATAAAACTTTCTTAAATCACACACACAGAAACCGAAATTATAGAGAAAAATGTTGCTTTTGTATTTTCAAATATTTTGCATTAACCAAAAATACTGGGGTGATGAGTGAGAGCTTTTTGGAATATGGGGAAATATTCGAAAATAGGCAGAACAGAACAATTCCACACACCCATACACAGACACAGACACAGACAGCCAGTGAACAGGTGACAGAAGGCCCCTGGCGAAGAGCGGGAGAAAGGATGGCGAGAGAGAGAGGATTGAGAGTGTAACAGTAAAAGCGCAGTCGCAGGCGCCGGCTATGCTTGTGTTGTGTGAGAAGAGATCGTAAATCAGGGTGCTGCTCATCGCCGATCTCTTGCCTTCTATACACACGAGCCGAAGAAAATATTAGATTTTCCTGGGCTGCACTGAGAGAAATTTGTACTTTTAAGATGAATAAAATGTTGGAAAAAATTTTGTTTCTGAGGAATTGAGTGATGTACCCCATCTTCAAATCATTTTGGAATTGTTATACCCATTTGTGGAGTTCTATAATATTTCTATAATGATGATCGATCCAATGAAGACCAGGAATATCCATAGATTTCATTGGACTACTAAATTATAGGGCTTCCATAGGAAAAACCCATCTAACAGGCTGTATCGCCGAATATCTAGTCTTTCTATATTTTCCTTAAGATGTTGTTACATGTTCGGCAACCATTTAGCACTTTTTTCGCACAGTGTACAAGCTCTAGCAATACCATGCCATGCTCTCTTTTTGCGGGGAGTGAGTGATCATCGCCGTACTCAAACGAGAGCAGAATGCAGTTCCATAATAAGCGAAAGAGCAGACCAAAAGCAACAACACGAGCACGGCATCGCATTTATTTGGCCGAAAAGCATGCTCTCTCGCACAAACACACGCGCGCGCTGGGCGGCGATGGCCCACACCTATACACACCAGCGCAGATCGTTCGGAATCGACCGAACGGCGGGCATCGAACGTCAACATATTGAATAAATATTTTCAGTTGAACATCACAATCCGTTCAAGTCGCGGATAACTCCGAATAAAAGTTTTGTAAGTAAAAAAAAGGAAGGCAAAGAAAAGAACCTCCTATTCAAAAATACCAAGATATCCAAAAAAATATTTCAAAAAGTATCTTGTAAATCTTGTTGCGTGCAAAAAAAAAACAAGTACAAAAACTGTGTGAGCCCTGCGAAAAAAAAGGATCCAAATCAACTCTAAATAGTTATATAATCATCAAAACGTTGCGGCAAAACTAATTTGAAATCAAATCAAAGTGCTGTGAAAAATCTATAGTAACCAAAAAAGAAACCGCAAGTATTTTTGAGATACAACAGACAGAACAGAAGAGCAACAAAAAAAAGATATTTCAAATATTTCTTAGTTTAGAATGAAAACCCAAATAGAGGTTAAGCACCTTTTCGGTTAATAGCGATTCTCTCTGGGGCTTTGTCAAGTTTGTCTGTTAACCACAATTTGGCATCTAGAATTTCCATTTTCCATTTCCACTAAATGCCCTCTGCATGAGATATATAAACATTGCCAGTGGGCATTCATCAGTGGGGTTCCCACATGGTTCTGGGAGTCGAATCCGCCAGAGTAAATATCAAAGGTTTTTCTAGGACTCAAGGAATTTATGATATGCTAAAGAAATGAATGTAGAGAGGGTCTTGAGTTATATTTTACATAAAAAATTGTGTGAGAATTTTCCTGAATTACATTTCCTTAGATGACTTCCTAGAGACTACCTTTTTCATCTTCCTGTTCTTCTAGAAACCTATTTATATATTGTATGAATCACTGAAGGTTGAGAAACCACTAAGAGATCCATGATCTCAAGGTGGATATAAAAAGACCTAGACCTAATGGAAAAGAGAGGTAGAAAAAAAGAACCTTCCTTCTTTGGTATTCAGAATAAATCCCAATCATTCAGAACATCGTGCAGTTCTGTTGCAATTTGTTGTATCTATGAAATCCGATACACAACCGCTGGCCACAGATGCCAAATGTATCTGAAGCGAACGTAGGCGAGAAATCCCCAACCCAACGAATTCCCCAGAAAGCTCTTCTCTTTTCTTTATACTTATTTTAGTATTAAGTAATATCCGTTGGATATTCAACAGATGCCTCCTCAGTTTTCCTATTTTTAGGCATTTTCTGTGTGTCCAAGAGAGACAGAGAAGGAGAGAGAGAGAGATAGTCAGAGTCACAGAGAGGGAGAAAGCTTTCAGTTCTGCCCCGCCATAGACTTTTAGATATAGATTCTATATACGTTAGACCTATATACAAGGCTGTCTATGTGTTTGAGACTTAAAAATAGAAAGAAAAAAAAACGGAATAGAACTCTGTATTCTGTACAACAAAAAATCTGACTTTTTCCAATGGATAATTTGGAAATTCTGCTGTACAAATGAGAGAGATGGATATAATTAGAAGATATGGAAGAACATATTTCCTAACCTACAGAGTAGATATTTTGAGGTATTTACGTATTCTGGATCAAGGCAGACAGGATATCTAGAGGGGTATAATATCTAGTGTATAAATTTTGGGGGAAAATGTGGAATAAATTACTCCCTAAATCGCATCCAGATTTCTTTTAAATGAAACATATGAGAATATGTAGAAATTACTCTTTCATTTTATGGGTAAACTTTGGTAGTCTTGAATCCTTGTTATTTTGCTTTGATCAGTTCCTTGAATTTCAATATTTTCCAAGTTTTTTAGATGGTTTTCGAAGGTTCTTCAAAGCTTACTGGTATATGCTTTTGTAGGCATTAGAAAAGGTGTATAGAATATGTATAAAGAAGTACTATAAAGGTTAAGCCTCTTCAAGCACAGTTGTATCCCTTAAAAATACTCATATATGGATGTTAAATATTAATAGAATAATGAAGTTTTACCCAGGCTTTTATCTGGAGTATTTATCCCTCAAACTCCATTACTTTCTTCGCTCTATAATGGCGCTCTTCTTGGCTTTGGGTTCATTTATTTCACAAAAGATGTATGTCATTGCCGAAAGGTTTAAGATTCCATGCGATTTATTCCGCTGAATCAACGCAAACATAACTCAATGTGTCACCTCATTCGATCCCATATGCACATGGCACATGGCACAAACAAATTTGCCTCGATTGCAATTTACTCGTAATTTAAATTCAATTTTTGTTTTCCTTCGGCCGCTTTTGCTCGCTGTTTCGTTGAACCTGAGGTTCAGAGGCTCAGGAATGTAAACAGAAAAGTTTTAAAAATAAATTAATGTTTTTGAACAAGAACAAGAACCACCAGCACACGGGAGGGGCAGGGCAGTAATAAAGAATTTAAAACTTGACTCAATTAGTGGCCTGCCTGGATTCGGTGCAGGCCATGACAATTGTTGGTCAAGTGGAGTGTCTGCTTGGTGGCAAGCTGGAGGAAGGAGTGAAAGGCGGAAAGAGGTGTGCGAGTGACTGAGAAGAGGTTAAGCCCCCAGGCCCCAGCTGAGTCCACACTGAGTCAGAGTCAGAGTCCAGAGAGTATTGGCCAAGTATAGTTTAAAGCCAACTGAGGGGACGATAATGATTCATTGGGGAGTGTTAAGAAGAGTAGGATTAGGAGGTTTGTTTACAAGGAATCTACAGAGCTTAAAGTGCTCTTTATTTAAAGATTAAAGAGTTTCTTCCTTAAGAGTATCTCAAGGTATTCGAAAGAGAACTTGAATTAGAGTTTGAACTAAATTTATTCTTGTTCTAGAATAGGGAGGTTGGGTAAGAGATCTGTGGGTTATATATAGGAGATTACTTTAGTAAAACTCTCAACTAGAACTTTGAAATAGTACTCAAGATCTTTGCCTTGCAATACAAATATAGGTATAACTTTACTGATCCCAAAATACTCGAGAAAAAAAAATGGTATAATAAACCAAACAAATATACGTCATAAATTCGTATAGCTAAAGCTATATCTTACACCTTTTCTTGGCCCACATTTGGGTTCCATCTACTGACACAATTTCTGGATGGTGCCAGAACTCTCTACTCAAATATGCTCCCAGTTCCAGCTTCGTTCTTAATCCATACCATACCAATCCGAACCGATGTGATCTGCATAACTAAGCCCCGAAAACGTGCATTACCTGGTATTTCTCGTTCAAATGATTTACTGTGAGATGAGAAAACACTCTCCAAAAAAACAACACATATAAGATTGAAGAGGAGACCCAGAAGCGGGAATAAAAGTCGTGAAGAAACGCCGGCAAAATACTAAAAGCTCAATTCACAGTCCGATGAGCTGGAACAATACTGATGTATGGGCCTTGAGTGTTTGATTTTTGGTCTGGGGCGAATAATTAATGGGTTCTGCCACCTTCCAGCCAAAAAAGGGTAGACATGGCTCTCTCATTAGCTTGGGAGAGAGAATACCCCCCACCTGAATGCTGATAACAGATAGATAAGCCAAGAGACAAGTGTATTTCAGTTGGAAAAAGAGGTTAGATAATACAAAGAATGATTACCCAAGCCATAAACAATCTAATATTCCTATAGTTTTAGTTGTGTCCAAGATAGAAATTAGAATAGTCATGGATTTGGGGAGGATTAAGCCAAAAAGAGTTCACTTCTCCAATTAAAGATTGTAAAATGCAAATACCTTCACCTTCTCTCTCAAGACAGAGTTTCACTTTCTGTGCACAAAGAAACGAGTTTTTTTCTTTTCTTATCCGTTGCGAATGCTCGTAGATGATTATCGCATAAATTCATTAATTGGTTTATTGGCTGCACATAACAACCGTTTTCATAGCCATTTCCATTTCGATTTGCAGTTTCTTTCGAGTACAGTAGCAAAACAAACAAACAGACACCATGGATGCCATCAAGAAGAAGATGCAAGCGATGAAAGTCGACAAGGATGGAGCTTTGGAGCGCGCTCTCGTCTGCGAACAAGAGGCACGCGATGCCAACACTCGCGCCGAAAAGGTAATTCAACCATCAGGAACCCCCATGCCTCACCCCCCTCCATAAACCACTCGCACTTGTACTCCCACAGAGCGGCAGAGTGGGGGAAACATTTAATGTAACAAAAAACATAATTAAAGGGGTTTAAATCTGAACAGATCTCATCAGGCTCTGGCGAACCCTAACCGAAACATAACAAAACTTGTTAACACATTCCATTTTTCTTGGTTTTATTTTTGAAATATTATAATAACAGGCCGAGGAGGAGGCTCGCCAGCTGCAAAAGAAAATCCAGACCGTTGAGAACGAGCTGGATCAGACCCAGGAGGCCCTCACCCTTGTCACTGGCAAGCTGGAGGAGAAGAACAAGGCCCTGCAGAATGTAAGTTCGAGAATTTCACACCTTTCATACCTTAGAATAAATCTTAAGTGGAGGATAGAGCAGGCATAGAAGATCGGAGTCAATATCCGTAATTTTTTAGAGATCTCAATGCAAAATTTCTTTTGGATCAGCTGAAAATTTATGTTAAATTTAAGTCTTAGAAATAAATTAGCTTACATTTAAATTTATAGCCAATTTTTTTACGAATTACTATTTTACTATTTTAATTTAAAAGCTAAATTCTCAAACTTATTCCAAAGCATTCCAAAAAACCCCCCAAAAAATCATAATTTCTTTAATCACTTGACAAAACGCTAAAAACATAAGAAAGGCAGACCTATTAATCATTTCTAGACTAGAATTTGTCAGAGCCCTCAAAAATGTTACACATTTCCCAGAAACTATATCTTAAAATAAGTATCTATAGATCTTTAAAAAAAAACATTTAATTTTCAGGTCATTTCACAATATTCTCTGAAATGCATCTGGGTTCAGATACAAGTCAAGAAATACACATAAATTTATTATAAGTGATTTTTTCAACAGCTTCAAGAAATGGGGGAAAGAAAATGGGCCAGCGGGAAAACTGTGTCATCGGAGCGGCAATTTAATGCTAATTTTCCGGCACCTTCTTTCAAATGGGATAAATGTTTGGGGGCGGAAATTCCATTCCATTTTATGAGTCTGAGGTGTTTGTGCTCTTAGCAGAAAATTCATAAATTTTGAATTCAAATTCAAACAAAAGGAAACAGCAGTCAGCAATTGCCACGCAGCACTCTGTTGGTGTATGCGTTTTTCTTTTACTGTTGGCAGCGCCTTTGGTGCGGCGCTATTTTTAAATTCGTTGGAAATAGCAGCCCATTGGTGCGAGAGGGAGAGCGCCCCGGCAACGCATGCGCGCCTGTATGCGTGTGTGTGTGTGGGGCAATATCAAATAACGCAAAGACAAATGAAAATTGCTTTTGCCAAAATATTTTCATGCAAAAACAAAAATGGTTTCCTCTCATTTTTTTGTACAGTATTTAGAACAATTTTCTTGGCGTTGGGCCGACGCCGCCTTGTGCTTTCCAAAACAAAAAGAACAAAATTGAAATTGAATTAAATTTTTTGTTCTTCTTGCGATACGTTTTTTTTGATTTGGGACACTTTCGGAAAGTATTTCAAGGATTGGGCGTTTGGCAGCGTTTCAAAAATTCAACATTTTCAGGTAACCAGAGGCGTGAAAGATAAATACAAAATGCTTATCGGACAGCATAAATTATGAGATCTTGACAAATTATCAGTTATGGCTTTTCTTGTTGTTGTCGCTGGCGCTGTTGGCCCTGCCCCGTATCGTTCAAATAGATATGACGATGCCAGCGCCTGAGTAATAATACAAGATACGGGAAAAAAGAAGAAAAAACACAGAGATAAGCAATTAAATCAAACAAAAACTGAAATGGAATGAATATACCAGGAAAACTCATCGCGAATACCGCAAGAGAGTAAGAGAGCAGGAGCGGAGCGGAGCTAGAGCTAGAGAGTACAAGTGGCCTGCATGAAAGCTTGTGAGAGAGAGAGCATCACTAGTGAGTGGGTGTTGTGGGGCTGTGGCGATGTGGCGCTCTCTCGTGCTCGTCTCCTCTCCCCCTGGATGTACGATCAGAGTGCAGCGCACACTTCTTGCTGACTCACTCGGACATGTGCCTCACGTCGGCCGCACGCTTCGTATGGGGGCGCATTAGAGAGAGAGATAGTTTGGGCAGATCGAGAGAGAGCCGCTGCCGGTGAGCGCATAGCCCCAAAATTATCGCCACAGCGCAAGCACACTTTCAAGTACAACGCCGAAGCAAGCAGCGGGGCCGAAGAACCCTCAAGCAGCCGCAGCAGCAAGCAGCCAGCAGCAGACCAGCCGCCGCCCGCCGCCTCAACCACAAACCCCATCGGAAATCTACAAAAAAAACTACATAAAATCAAATAAATTATAAATAAATGAAACCCGCATTCTTATAAATCAAACTAAGTAGGTTTATCAATGAATTAATCAGAGAAGTCGCTACTTTCATTTAATACGCATTAAATGAAATTCTAGAGATTTCACAAATTACATAAATAAACCGTTACACATGCCAAAAAACAAGAGAAAGAGAAACCAGTGTGTGGCGAAAACTTTTCTCTGCCATTTTTCACGCGCTATTGAAAATCTAAAGAGATAAAAAGAGCAAAAAAAAAAAACATTAGATCTATTAAATCATCAATAAAAATAGCTAGAAAAAAAACCAAAATTCGGAATCCAACCATCAACTAACGGTACCATGAGCGCAGCTGTTTGAAAAAAACCAACAACAACAACAAAAACCACCGAAAACATCACGCATCAAATCACACAAACAACAAACTGTAGTAGCAAAAGCCGGCGCACATAATTAATATGTACGAGAAAACATTAACAATAGGAAATGCAAAAGTTAATAATGCATATGAGTGGCAAAAAGTGAGTTACAACAACAAAAGCACAACAACGGCCAAACCAAAGCAAATCAATCACAAAACTAGCAAAAGCAGTGCAAAAACTGCAACCAAAACAAATGCAACAAAAATAGCAGCAAGTGCAGCAGCAACAACAACAACACCCAAAGAAACGGTTAAACCCTCCACACAACCACTACAAAACAACCAAAAGTACAAATACTTCGGCAGTGCGGCGCGCCGGCTGGCGCATCAAATAAAGCGGGCGCATCGGCATTTATTGACCAGCGGCGGCAACGACAAACAACCACAACAAAAGCGTAACGAAATGAACCTTTAATCTCAGCTGATTTAGATATGATTTCTATAAATTCAAATCAAATCTAAAGCAGTTGAGGCAGTACCACCGATAACTACACGCGCACATGGCAATCAGCTTTGGTCTGTATGCAGTGCGCGTGTAGTTGTCTGGTCACACTAGATATCGATAGGCACACAAAAATGATTTAATTACAATAATTACGAGCAATTATTAAGCATTAAAACTAGAACAGCTCAATTTTGGCTGCTAAGATTATATTAAATCACTTTTGTAAGCCATAATATTTGACGGAACATCAAAATGCAGCAATATGGTTTTCAATCCCTGACGGAGAACGATTAACATATTATATGCCAAGGGGGAATTTCAGGGGGTGACTGGAATTCGTCAGTATTGTTACGGTATATTTTGAGAATTCGACGGTATATTTCGGTATTATTCCGAGGGTCGATAAACTACATTTTCTCGATTTACAAACAGCTGTTGCAAAAAGGACACCAAAAACAACAACAACGGCGGAGGGTGCAGCAGCTGGAAAACAGAAACAGCAGCCGCGTAACAAACGCGCAAGCAACAAACAATTGTTAAAAAGTGATAAACCAAAGCCGAAAGCAGGCAAACACCAGCGTCAACAGCGTGGCAGCAGCAGGCAGAGTCGCAGTGACGGGGCACTATCGGGGCAGTCTTCGCGTTGGTGCTCCATCGAGGCGCAGCTGAATGTGCTGGACGATCTGCTCTATTACTGCGATGAGGAGGCCGAACTGTATTTAGCCCAGCTCTACGAAAGGTACCAGCAGCTCATCTGCGACCAGAGCTCCAACAGTGAGTACGAGTCGGGATCGACGGACTTTTGGAGCGACGCCTCTGACTCCGAAGACAATATGTCGCAGCAAAACAGTGCCGACGACGACGCCCTGTCCAGCACCAGCGGGACGGGCAGCAACAGCACCCACAGCCTGGTTCCAGCCGCCCTGAAACGACGGGGCCATCAGCATCATCCCCGCTTCTCGGGCACGCGGCGGCCCAATGTGCCCAATGTCCAGGAGATACTGGCCGCGCTCTATCGCGGCGACTCCAAGGGGGTGCTCTCCAATCTGCGCGGTGAGGCTCAACCAGAGCCGGAACCCGAGAACGAGACACCCGTGGAGGCGCCTTCCACGCCGATTAGCCGCAGCACCCTAAGTCTTCCACTCACCGATTCGGTGACCAATTCCCTGGGCAGCAACAGTCCCACGCCCACGGATGAGAGCAGCATTCAAGATGACAGTGCGGCCACACCCGTAACGGGAACCACAACAGCAACGGCAACGCCTTCAGGCCTTCCGGTGCCGCCCAACGGGAAGGAGAAGGAGGCCAAAACGTCCAGTGGCAAGAAAAAGAAGCGGGACAGAGGCGAAAAGTCCGAGAAGCGGGAAAGAGGCGACAAGTCCGAGAAGAGTGATAGAGGCGACAAGTCGGAGAAGAGTGAAAAAGGTGAAAAGTCAGAGAGAAAGAAGAAGTCCTCCTCGTCATCGTCGGGCAAGCGCGAGCGCAGCAAGCGTCATGGACATGGAGCAGCCGGCACGAGTGCAATGGAGGCCAGCAGTGATAGCCTGGCCACCGATCTCAGCGCCGGGGCCATCGACGAGGGCATCGCACTGGGCGATGACGACGACACCCAGTCGGCCGAGTGGTCCAAATTGCGATGCACCAGCGAGGCGGCCGAGATTGTGGCGGAGCGAGAGGCACGTCGGAACAAGGGACGGTGTGCGGACTATCCGGGTCTGGCCTTTGGACGTTCCATCTTCAGTTCGGACACCATGATGAAGTTCAATATCATCCGGAACGAGCTGCACAACATCATGAATACACAACTAAAAAGGGTAATTAGCAGACGGGAGATCGATGGATCGATGGGAGTCTCTTTATATATGTATTATCCACTAATCACATTTCTATATCTAATTCAAGCCGAAAGAAAAGAACGTCTTCCGTCCAACGATGTCTTCCGTCGGCTGTTCTTTGTAAAGTTTGGTTAGGTTCCGTCCCCTCTATCGTATCGCCCCTTTCTATCTATGATTGCTCCAATTTTTGTTGTTGCCTATCTCTCGTTTCCTTTGTTTCCTCGGTTCGCTCTTTGTATAATGTTGTTGTTTTTTAGTTTTGTGTGGTTTGCACATTGCCAAGCGATTACGTCGTCTTTTCCGTCGACTTTGTTGCCTTCTTTTTTCGCGATATACCCTAGAAGAGG